CCTTACATGGTTTCAAAAGGTCGACTTACAGGGTTGGAAGAAGTACAACTATTCGAAATGGCAAAAGGAAGGCGGCAACAAAATCAGACCAGAAAAGCTGATTTCCTTATTTTGATAATGAATCTCAATTGTTGGTCGTCAAAGGCGAGCTACAAAAGAAAAAGGGCTAGTTGGTGCAATCACTTTTACTCCCGCCATGCTTAATTTTTTGTCTCTGGACTATCATTGACACAAGTTCTTCTTCATTGTACTTCTGTATTTTGTGTCTGGATTATTTGTTGTTTGACGGTGGGGACAGAAACAAAATATTCCCGTGTGTATGTTTCTATACGAGTGACTGGAGTCTTATTGCATAATTTAGTTGCAAGATCTCCTCTTTGGGTTTGCACGATGGTGCACCTGCTGCCCCGTCACTCGCCATCACTGTTGTCACACGTTTGTGTGTGTGTGTGTGTGTGTGTGTGTGTGTGTGTGTGTGCGTGTGCGTGTGCGTGTGCGTGCGCATGCGTGCGCACAGTTGGCAAAGCAATTTGGCAGTGGTCTGGATGGAGCTCGTGGGCATGCTATCATCTTAAATCAACTCAGCGTTCACTCTCGTTGCTAAAACACTGACTTGTTGAGAGGAGACGCTGCCAAGCAGGATTTTATTAAAATCCTCTGTCTGCACACTTGATTTTCCAAAACCAAAATAAAACTAAAACATCTTTATTTCTTGCAATATTTGGCAAGTCATATGTTGCCACTCTCAAGTCAAATTTAATTACATAACCCTTAATCACAAAGTCTCAAAGGGCATCACATGGCCACAGTTGACAAATATTAACGACATCCCCTGATCTTGAACCTCAGGAAGGCAAAGAAAAACTCCAAAACCCAAGTCTTCTTTGGAATCTAAAATCTTTGCATTTCACCTCGTTTTGCCAATCGCATTCACTTTTCGCGAAGTTGGTCCTGTGGCACCATCTGCTGGATTTATTTTCCTGTTTTATTTATTGATTGGGAGTTCGCGCTGGCACATTTTTTTTTCATCTGCCATTTTATTAGATATACCTGGCAAAAAAATGCACCCTTAATTTAATCGCTGTTGATGTCATGATGTCCACTTGGACTGTAGAGTAGTTTGTAGCAGTGTTGCGACCGTACTACAGGCCAGTGACTCCGCTGAGACTTGTTCCTTGCACATAAGCACGTGTTACTGTCAGTGTGTGACCCCGTTATTATTTTGGGTTGCCACTTCATAGGCAATTTGTGTCGACTTTGTGATTTTTTTTTTTTTTTTTTAAGTCTCACCCATTTTTGAGAAGTACTTGGGCTTCCTATGTTACTGCATTTTATCGTTGATTATTTTGGTGGTGCTTAGAGAGAGAAGGATTTTTTCAAGGTGGGACTTGGTGTGGAAAGTTTGGCAAATATTGTTCTGTAGTGTTATCACTTGGCTCATTTGGTGACGGAACAGTGACCGCAAATCCAAACACCTTCATGCACCTTGAGGCAGCACCACCTCCTCCATGTTGTTGATGTTGTTCATTATTCAGGAGAACCTGAGCCTGCTGACGAACGAGGGGGCGGAACCTGAACGCCACCAACTGGACCAATGGAGACCCAAAGTGGACCAGAACAAGACCTCCTTGCTGGGGACTCTCAAGGTGCCACATCAAGGCTGGAAAAAAAATGACATCATCGACTGCATCTCGAGGTACTTTTCTTCTTTTGTGTGCGTCGTATTGCTTCCTTGCCTCCCATCTTTTTGCCATACAGGAGGTAAAGCGTATTAATTAGCTTTTGGTTGTGCACTTCTCATGGTTCTTTGAGGCTCATTTGTGCTGAACTTTTGTCAGTTACCGTGATGAACAGTGATAACAAAAAACCGTATCCCATTGCTTCTTCATCGCCAAGATCAACTGTTACTTTGTTCATCTTTTTTCGTTGCGACCATTAAAGGCATGGTATCCCCCTTCGCCCCCCTCCTTCCGAAGAAAAATAAATAAAAACATCAATAGATAAAACACGAGGAGGACATAATGAGGTGTCTGTGTATTTTTCATCTCAGCGGGGCCTCTCCGCAACCTCGTAAGTTGTTGAGAATGAGAATTGACAGGTGGGAACAGGTGGGCTGCTGATTGTTCCTTTTGTGTGCAGAACCTTGCCAGGCCACAAGTGGGTGACCCACGTGGGCTTTTTTTTGCCCCCTATTTCCTCCCAAGCGATGCAGCTCAAGTGGTTGTAGTTGTCAGTCGGCCTGATGTCCGTTAATTATTCATGTGCACATCCAAAAGTGTCTCGCTATGGTAACGATAACCTGCTGGTCTCGCTCCCTAGTCCGTCCCACTCCATATATAGAAATGTGGGATGAAATGCTCGTTTATTGGGGAACTTGGTTATGAGCGAGAGTTATGTTGTCAGTAGTTTGAAGAATATAAGAGAGATGTTAATTTTACTCAAAGCAAAATTTGAGAATCGTCTCATTTTGCAGTGACTTCAATCTTTCACTGTGAAAATGTTCAACCTACTTGTGGCATTGTTGTCATACATGCATTGACCGCTAGAGGGGGCATGTTACTGTACATTTTCTGCACGCTTCTTTTCTGGCACAAGGTAGCTTCTGTCCTGATGGCTTTTCCTCTTTAAAAAAATATAAATAAATACACAAAGCATCAGTTTTACTGATATTTCTTGGTTGAGGTGATTAGTGATTACAATTAGATTTTTAATTCAATTAGTTGCTTTTCTTTGTTCCTGTGCATCATTGCATTTTTTTTTTTTCATGATAGCCTGGACTTTTCCTGAAACCAAAAGTCTGCACGCGTCACTATGCACACACTCTTGTCTGAACCCCCCCCCTCCCCCCAAACAAACAAAAAAAGACACCTCTGATATGATTTTTAGACGTGCCATGAAGGACGCTAAAAAGTAGGCCACGCTCAAATGGCTTTCACGTGCAAGTCGCTAGTTGCAGGTGTGCAAACAGATACCACGAACACTGTTTTTTTGGCCTGTTGCTCATTCCACAATCAAATGACAATTTTGGCACGCAATAATTTTTGTGAGAAAAAAAACAAAAAAACAAACGCACTTGAGGAGTGTAGTGGAAAAGCCACTTGCTCCAAGGTGTCACTGTGGAAACAGGAATACGCCTTCACACAAACGTTGGGACACACACTCACACACACACACACACACACACACACACACACACACACACACACACACACACACACATACACACACACACACACACACACACACGCACACACAGATGCACACACAGGCTATTTGTATTGCCAATGTAGGTCATGAGAAGAAAAAAAGTGGTTGATGCTGGCTGCAAGAAGGCTTTTTTTTTTGTTGTTTTTTTTTTTTTTTACAGTGAGTAGTGGTGGTACCCGTGGTATAGTTTGTATTTACTTTTTCTTGTGACGCATCTATTTTTAATGAATTTATCATATCTTATGCATGATAAATTCTTGGTACTAATCAATGTTTGAGTACTTATTGCTTCTTCCATTTTCAGTCCAGCAAGGCCTCGAATTCATCTCACCACTCATTTTGCATCTCGTTTGCGGCGAGGGTGTGCACCATTTCCACCCGTCAAATAGCGCAAGACAAATACAGGATATGTATTCAGCAATGCCTGGTGGGCACTCGCACAAACACACACCCACACACACACACACACACACACACACTCACAGTCGCACACACACTCACACTCACAGTCGCACACACTAGGCGGGGATGTTGCTCCCTTTCTCAGTCCCTCCCTCTCTTTTTTTTTTTTTTTTATAGTCTTGACTTCTCGCCTTTTGGCCCCAAAGAGAGAAGGGGCTGTCCAAGTAATTTAATACCTGTCCGATTCATGACTTTTTTTGTGGGGGGGGACTAACTTGCTCAACTGCCCTGACAAGTGGTGAGGTTAGCACACATGAGCAGGCAGAGACAGAGGCGGCAAGCAGGAAGAGAGAGGGGGGCAAGGAAAGAAGAAGACGAAGGGAACGTATCCTCCTCACATGGAAGAATGATGGAAGTGACCCGGGGCTCGCCGCCTGCCAACATGAGCTCGGAGGCCCAGAGAGGGACGGGAACGGGGACAGCGTGCCCGCAGGATGAGGTGGTCTCGGGGCGCCTTGCCAATTTGGATGCTTTCCCGCCGCGGGACTTTAGAGGGAAGTTTAAAAAGATGCGGCACAAGAAGAGGCCCACCATCCTTGAAAGTAGGTTCAGTCCATAGTCATTTGGAAATGGCGCACTTGTTGAGTCTGTTTGGCAACTCTGGGGTCATGTCAGAATTGAGACCACGTTTTTGAGAAACAAACCATACTTGAAATCATTTTGGAAAAACAGCTGCTTACCCATATCATTTCATATGTGTGGGTTTTTTTAATGAGGAATACGAGCAATCCAGTCTATTATAGTCATTCTTTGCAGAGGATAAACAATACATTCCTGCGAGTATTATCTTTCTATGTGTGTTGCCCCACTGTTTGTGTTCAGACGTCTGCCACTGAAAGGATCACCCCACACCATATACTGTAGATGGTAATTGTTAGCCCGCGTACCAGTGTTGTTCCGACTTGTGTTAGCATTAAGCTACTGAAAGCTCCTTTATGTAGTTCCACCCATCCATCCATTATCTGATCTGCGTATCCTGTTCTATTTCAATATTTGAGGTGCGATTCTCTGTTTGCTGCTTAGTTTGATGCTCGCCTTGAGCTGTTTTTTCTTCTTAAATAAATCTTCACCATTTGCTAATTGCTGCTTGTTTCTCTCGCGCTACATGGCCAAAAAATATTTTGTAACAGAGCTTCTCAGAGAAAATAAACCCACATTGTGGAATGACCCGTCCAGTATGAAAGGAGCGAAAGTCCCAAGATGCGAAGGGGCCCCTGGGGGCCATGGGTGGGGGTGGGAGGGGGGGCTAGCGCAGAGACAGTCCACACATAGCTGGCATTCCTCACCATCACCAGCGCCTGTTAATGCTCTTAATAACGTCTTAATGTGGCCCAGCCATTTTTCTTCTGCTCTTATACGGGGGAGTGGGGATTGTGGGCTGGGGGGTGCGGTTAGTGACGGCTCCTCACCATCAAGTACATTATGTAATAGTGGACAAGTGTTTTGATGGCGTCAGTTGTGGGGATTATGCAGCAGAGTGTGGATGATCTCATCACTGACTGCATATGCACTTGTGTTGACTAGGAACTACAGTATATGAGTATTAATGACCTGTCATTCCCCAAATATTGGTTTCTCTTTGACATGGCACATCACATCATTTTATGTGGCCCGCAAGAGCCAATCAAACATGTCAACTTCCTTGTGACAGCAACTGTGGAGGAGATGTGATCATCTGCAGGGAAATGAGCGCACTTTGTTGCTCAAGTTCTACAATCTCAATTCGATTTTTGTTCAATTGGAAAAGGCTCCACGTCCGTGTACTTGATCTTTTTGGCATCCATGAAATAATTCAGACTCTTGGTAGTTAATGTTGAGGAGCATATAAGATGAACGGACTGCTCCCAGGGCACTTTTCATTTTTACATCCTGACAGTGTCATTTGTCGCGGTTGACGTCTTTTATGTCTCCAAATAAGTTGGCCGTGGTCGTCGTCTGCAGTCGAGTAACTACATGAGCTAAGCCCCTGCGAGGAAACGATGTAGCTGGCAGGGAATGCTGGGAAAATATGAGGGGGGGGGCTTTTTGGGGGCCATAAATCCCAAATTTCAGCAGAACTTAATCGAGCATTTTTGTCCAAGGGCACCGCACCCATATTTCCATGTTGCCTTATTCAACATAAAATTGCATAAGCGGGTAAAAGCGGCCCTTCCTTCAAGCCATTTGTCTGATTTACATTCCAAACATTTTGCACTTCATACATTGCAGTGTTGTTGCAGGCTCTGCTGATCACTTGAATGCAGTCTTCCCACCGCTTTCACAGATGTTCCCGCTTGTGCTTATAGTTGTTCTCCATCGACGACAGATGAGAGATGGGCTGGTGTAACGCACTCATCATCATTACTGTTATCATCATCATCATCATCATGAGGCAGACAAACAGAAGTTATTATTAACTGCGCGCCGGCTAAGAGGATTGCTCCCTGCACTGCCGGCCTCCACACGCAGTGATTGAAAGGGAACTCGCACTCCCGCCCACCGCCCGCCTCTCACTGTCCACGGCGCGATGCCGAGCGTCAGTGGAGGCTAGTGGGGGAGCGGGGAGAAAGCGCGCAAGTGGGAGGACGTCGGAGGACCCCAGACTTGCCGGCTTGTCGCCTCTGAGGCCGCGGGAAGGGCTGACGGCGACGCCGCCTCCGAGGCAAGCCGGCCGATCATGGCCAGCCAGCAGGACTCGGGCTTCTTTGAGATCAGCATCAAATCTCTGCTCAAGTCATGGAGCGGCTGTGAGTAGCGGCTTGATCTCTTTTCGATTTAACAGAGGTCTCAAACTTGTTTTCACTTAGGCTTGACTTTGCGAGGAATTTGCGCGAATGTCATTCCAAACCAAACTCTTTAAATCTTCTCTTTTTAGAAAAGGGCATCATGGCTCGTCTTTTAAGGTCATGAAGGATGCAGACAAATGCAACAGTAACGGCACTATGCAGTTAAAAAAAAAATACAAATTTTCACCGGCGATACTTTCCAGATCAACCTGCGATAAAATGCACCACCATAAAAACATTGTCAAATTAGTTGTACCCATTCTACTTCAACCTAAAAACATTTACAACACATTGCAAATGTACCGAATGAGAAAATATCGAAAATGCCTCATCCATTGTCCGTATTAGATCTGTGCGTTTAATAGGCGGCGCCTGCTGTGGTGGCATTTTGTGTCTGGCCGTGAGCTGTGGCTGACAGCAGCTACTGTGTCAGTTTGATATGAGGGAGCTTGTTTTTTACTGTCCTCATCGTGTTCAATAAATGTTTTTTTTTTTTTAAATGGCTGGCCATGTATATGACACAGAGGGCTGCACGTGGCCTGCGGGCCTTCAGTTTGACAACTGTGTTCATTTGTTTTCTTTACATAGCTACATCCAGTGGAACTTCTATTTGACCGTCTCTTAGCAACAGCATTGCCTGAGTAACGCATCTTCCTCCGAGAAGTTGTCCATCGTGCACTGAGTCATTATCATGACTTGTCCTCTCTGATTATATGCAATAATTCAGCCGGTCATTGCTGCACCGCTGTTTTTTGTGTTTTGTTTGTTTTTTGTTTTGTTTTTTACAGCTAGTGATGACATATTTATGCTACATCCATTATAGGTGTGTCTATCGTTAAATAAGGAAAATAATTGTCCACACCAGCCAGTGGAGTAAAGCTAAAGTTTGGCATGTGTCCTCATCAGGGCTCAAGAGTGCACCCAATTTGTGTGACCAGACAGCCTAATTTCACAATGGTGCAAACTGAAAAAAAAATCTGAGGTCGCACATACCGATCTGGTAAATGTATTGACCGTATTGACCACTTCCAAGACCGGAACCATTGCCGTCGTCGATGAATAAGCTCCAAGCCTTGCTAATTGCTAAGCTAACCTAGCTAGCGCGTTCAACACAAGCAATTAAGTAGGCACTTGGTTGATACGAGTCCACTTTTCACAGACATCTGACGGAAGCCGCGTTAAATCGGAGCGTATTCATCTTTGAACAGCAGGCAAATTCAGAAATGTCTGGAATCGCCACAAAAAGTCACGGATCTGCCAAACTGCTCTGGAAGAAACAACAAAATATTTCAAGCCTTGAGCATCCTTACTCACAGATGTGTTGAGGGGACTGGGGGGCTGTGCACATTGCGGCGCCATCCACTCGATGTGCTGTGGATCGCTCCCACCGATTTTGTTTTTCCTCACCTGGATCCTCAGTGCTTTTGCCAATTTACCAGGGGCGGGGGGGTTCAGTTGTGTGAGGGTATTTCAATGGTATGACAGTGTTTCAATCATGGTTGTTTGTGTTCTGTGAACGTAGGCATTCAATTGCAGTTGGAGACTTGGCCCTGCAGTTTTCAATCCAGTCTCAGTCGCTATCCGATGTTGATACAAGAGTATACGCAATGAGTCAGCATCCCAACTCATATGCACTGCTGCTGCTGCTGTTGTTAAGCGCAGTGTGCAGAGTTCTCACATGGTCTAAAGCGCTCTTAGTAAGCGGGAGGACGCACTAATAGGATTAGTGGAGCTTCACCTGCAACCCAGCTGAATTCTTCCATTGGGGCCACGCGGGGAGGAGATCAGCTACTGCTTGTCTCGTGATTTTTTCTTTTTTTTGATTGAAATGATCCCATTGCTTGAATTGGTTTTAAAAAAAAAAGTCACATTGTGTCAACACAAATAGCGACACTAGCTCTTGTCAGGCATCCAACTGTGACTTGACTGACATAAATGTCACCACAGATTCTCAAAGAGCGATTCACTCTTTAGTTTGTTATGAAGATGATGTCATGTCGTCAGAATTTAAACACTGAATGCACCCTTTTTATTGATTTTATTCATTTTCCATTTCGTTATGGAACACGAGTCAGTGAGCCTTGTGTGTTAACAAAGGTGGTGTCGATATATTATTTATTTATGTATTCATTTCAGTCCCTCTGGCGTAAAAACTTGACATCATAAAGCTACGGGCAGGGTGTTCCTGCTGATTACCTAACACGACGCGCAAGTGTTTACTAGCCTTGAGTTCTACTCGAGTGTGTTTATTTATAGTCTAGTGGCTGTTTGTGTGACGAGAATGCATCAGCTCCCCTTCCAGGTCTGCGTCAACCCTGGACATGCCGGTCTAGTTAAAAGGTGCTGACCCACTCCCTATGAATGGCTGCTAATTCCGTTGTGGACATGAATGCGGGGATTCAGCAGCATCAAAATAGCCGAAAACTGTTGAAACTTTCCTGGCAGCAAAATGTGTCATATCATACGATATACAAAATGGCGATCTTCCATTCCCTCACCCAGTGAGGATCAGTAAGAGAATCAATCAAGAATCAAATCGATTATTAGTATTGATAATTGAATCTGCATCGTTAAAATCCATTGACTACCCATCGCTTTTAATAACTGTGAGAAAAAAAAATACATCATGCGATTGATTAAGCCTCTAAATGGGCAACAGTAAACAAAACAAACAGGAAGAAAGTATCCAGTGGCATGCTTGAAATTGAACAAAATCCATCGTAGGATGCTAGTCAACCAATTTGTTGGGATGTTGTTTGCATCGCTAAAAACGGAAAACAAAATGATCCGTCACTTCCCAGGTTATTTTTTTATAAAATGTCAGAATACCGTGAATCCACGGATAAATGCCTTTCTGTAACCTTCCGGTCTCTCTATTGCAACCTAAATGAAGTTATTATAGATTATGTGTGAGGGGAAGCCACTTGTTTGCTTCATTGCGCGGTCCTCAGGGGAGTGTACCACGCTCGGTTTGTTTTCAGCACGATGTCGCTGATGTCATGTCCCTGCTAACCCCCTTATTTGCCAGTCACATGCCTGAGACACAAACGGCCTCCCATACAATTGCACCTTCCATCTTGATGTCTGATGGTGTGACTGTCATGTCAGTCTAGTGCCCACACACGTCGCAATCTCTCCCCCCCCCCCAGCCCCCCCTCCTCTGTGGGGCTAATTATAGCCACACAGCTACGCGCCCGTAGCATCACCACACTTTTCCCGGGCTAAAAATTCCCACTTGACCTTCACTCCTGGAAGGCGGCACAGGCTGGTCACAAGACGAGAGGGGGAAGCCAAACACGGACCTCAGGGAAGGAGAGAGACAGACGAGTTTTGTGTGGTCTCTCGTCTTAGTCTGCGCCCGTTTCCGCACACCCACCATGGAAACTATTCCCCGGGAGGACGCGGCCAGCTGACACGCAGGATATGGACGTCGGCGGGTTTCCATAGGGGAGAATTTGGGGAGTGGGGGGGGACACGAGCCCTGATACGGCATCTGGCTTCCCCACCATGGACGCAACAGCCATGTGCTGGAGTAAAGCCAGCGTCATCAGCTTCATCAAGGGCCTTGGTAGGTGCTGAGAGAGGTCGCGCATGCTGCTCATTCCTTGAAAAGCGACATGGCACACACATGTCCCGGCAAGACCTGGAGAACTCGGCCACGTTTACGCTGCAGTAGGGTTGCAAGATTCCGGGAAACTGAATGGGTATTTATGAGAAGTTAAACCGGTTTTCGTCATCCAAATATTTTTTTGACAATCGTGACTAAAGTGCAGCATTAGCATAGATTAGTGACGGACCAGCACGCACATTCATCTAAATTCAAGTTTTTTAAATTAGGGCATTTTAAAACAACATAAAAAAGCTGAACATCGCTTAATATGTCATAGAGCTGTGATCAGTCGCCACCCAAATGTATGTTGACATTTCTACTTTTGCCCACTTTAACCGCAGCAAATATTAGAAGATAGAAACTTGGAAGGAGGAAAACACGGAACGAAAACACTGGGGCGATTTGCAGAGGTTGAAGTGGGCATAAGTAGAAATGCCCACATAAATTTTGGTGATGATCACAGTTTTCTGACATTTCGTGATAAGAAGCTTACCTCTTGTGTACTTTTTTGGGACGTAATCAAACGCGGCGGTCGTCATCATGACACGATGCGGTTGGTCGCATTCATGAGATCTTTGGCTGCCCTCGCACATCACTGACATCTTTGCTTGGAAATGAAAACAGCAGCTGCTGCCCGTCGCAAATCCAAAGTCGCTGCCCTTTGGTCAGCGTCTGTCAGGTTTGTTCATCACGGCGGGAATTTTCATGTCCATGTTTGGGGAAAACCTCCTTTCTGGCGCACTGAACTCTCATTAGTTATAAGCCCGCTTCTTATCACTGATGAGTATTATTTTTGCAACGAATGAATCGCCTGACTCATTCGTGCCCCTTGGAAAAAATTCGCCCACAATGCCAGTTTTACCTCCTATTTTTAAATTGGGTGTCTTCAGTTTGTGAAACACGTTGACAGACGGACACTAAACTGCGAAGTTTTGCTGACTGTAATCAGTGATTGTCAAAGTGCGCTGGCAGTATGCGGGCTCCCTCTAGTGGTGCGTGAAAGAATCACTGAATTCAATGTTCAAAATGCGCATAATGTGACCGCGTCTTCGACCATTTTCTTCATTCTTCATGTGTTGTTCCCGCAGCCTCGCCCGTGGGCAATGGCTACAACAAGCCGCCCCTCCCTCCGGTCTGCAGTCCTCAGGGGGAGAAGGGCCCGCCGGTCGCCATGCCCATCAGCGTGGACCCGGAGAGCAAGCCTGGTGAGTACGTCCTGAAGAGCCTCTTCGCCGCCTTCGCCACCATGTCGGAGCACAAGATCCGCGTCATCATGGCGGAGCCACTGGTGAGTCATCAGACTGTTTCGAAAATATGAGACAAAATCAAGACACAAATACAGTAGCAGAAAAAAACACACAAAATGTCAGCATAAACGGGTTTAAAAAACAAATACCGTGCACTCCGCAACAACGTGGTCACATGTACATTGTCATGTTCAAGTATCCATGTGGCGTGCACAAATGTCATTTAAGGAAAGCAATGAGTCACCTTGTCCTGTATAGTCTGCAGGGAGCTGTTTGTTAATGAGCACTGGGAGGTGCGCTAGTCGTCCGTGTCAGCATGCTGCCTTCCGGGACGTCTCCCTCTTTGTCTTTTTCCTCCCAAGGGAGACTGCGTAGTTTTGTTTTGATCTGTCGACTGCCGTCTTTAACCTGGAAAGTTGTGTTTTATCTGCGTGTTGGGTCTTGAGGTTTTATGACCAGTTGCGTTGTCAGACAGCTGTAATTGGGGTGTGCCATGAAGCTGTGATAGGTCTCAATTTGCTGATGGGCCATTGAAGGTAGTGCAGGCAGCCTGCGTTGAGACAAAAACTGTCAGTTTTGTTCTGTCACATTGATTTTAGGTTGCATTTTAAAGCTATTACTCATTATACCCAATAAGCAAATTAAAGATTAAAAACAAAAAAAGTTAAAGCCACATTAACATGATGCACGGTTTGAACTTTCAATTCGGTGATTCTTTTGTGTACCACAAGAGGCAGCCTGCGTGCCTCTAGTGCAACGTACAGCATGTTGAGAAATGCAGTTGCAAATTCATTTTCTCATTTTTGCCACCTGACTTGCTTTATTTTTTTTTTCTTGAGTTGCACAGTTTTGCATTGATTATTAAGCTTGTTGACAAAGTGATTGAATGACAAATTTTCTTCTTTGTCAATCCAGCCTCCCATTTATTAATGAAGAGGATGTGCATGCGCCAGTGGTGCGAAACTCATTAGGCGGCATTAATCCCTCATGAAAGCTGTCATCGCATCTCATGATGGAGGACTTTCATAATGCGAGGAGCCATTAACGACGCATCTTTCATATCGGTGGCAGCTTTCATACTGCTGCCTCCCTGATTGAGCTCGCTCTCATCACTCGGATTAAGATCAGAAATGTGGAATGGGTGAAACTCCAGTTTGAGAGAATAACAACTTTTTTTTTTTTTTTGCAGGAAAAGCCCTTGTCAAAGTCTCTTCAGCGGGGGGAAGATCTTCAGTTTGACCAAGTGAGCATAAAGGTTCAATACTTGAATGTTGGTTTGTCATCATTTCGTCCATTCCTTCATACGGGATATACGAAGGAAAATCGTCTTTTTAATGACTCGTGTACAAAGAGTAGGGTCTCGGGTGCATCCCCAACCTTCAAGTGGGAAATCAAACAATCAAGTCACTATTTTGCGAAATTGTGTCTGTGAGTGAGCCCTTCTGAATACTCCCCAAATTGTGATATCACCATTCATCTTATTTACAAAGCGCCCTTAATGCTTTGTTTCTCCGCCCATGACAGCAGCTGGTCTTGGTTTTAGAGGCACACTTTTCAAGCCACAGCAGGGCAACCCTTTCACGTCAAAGGCAAAAGATAAGCAGAGCTGCCGCGGCGACACCGCAGATTAGCATGAGCGGCACAGACTTTCTTGTGGAAGTTGTGTGCTGACTTGACATGATTTGATTTTGTGGGCCGCATAAAACTGTTGTTGGGGTTTAAATGACAAATGTTGTTAGTTGGGCATTTGTTCCAGGAAGGGTTCAGTCCCTACTGTGTGTGTGAGCGCCAACTGCATTTGGGATGATACCTGAAAAAGGCTCGTTGGCACACGTCCCAACAAATGCTGTTTATGAGCCAGCGGAGGGCAAGGCATGTTTACCTTGAGCCTTGGCGCAGGTCCGACGTGTGTCCGTGTGCCTGCGCAGAGAGCCTCCTTTCACGGCGGCCCACAGCGTCGCGTTTGTGCTGCTGCATGAAGCACATTGGAGCGGTCTGCGCACAGAGCCCGGATTCTTCTCCAGGCCTCGTGCGCAATGAAGGCCTCGCTTGTATAGCCGCACCCCTCCGCCCGCCAGACTCTCCTCCCTTCCTGTGTGCTCTGAACGCGCCCGTTCCTTCCTTTCCCTCACCCCCGCCCTCCTACAGTTGACGCAGGCGGCTTACGGGCACCTTGACTCCCTTCTTAGCCGTGACAACCTGGCCCTTTACTTGGAACCAAAACACTCAACCCCTCATTCACGAATCATCACTTTCACATGAAAACAAATTTGTGTTACTCTACTGTGTGAACATTTTGGCTCACAGCTGCTGTCCGCAGCGGACGCCATCCTGCAAAGTTTTGCTCAAATGGCTTTTGTATGACTAGCGTCTCCTGTGATTTCACGCCATTAAAACAACCAAGCAAGTGGCGGAGTGCGACTGTTTGCGCAGCGCTGTAAATAACAGAGTCCTTCTCATGTTCTTCTGCTGCAAGTTTGTCATCCATTGAAGTCAGGAAGGCGCTCACTGATTGTAATCTCTGATGGGCGTACGCGTCTTGCTTGGTGTTGCAGTTGATGAGCACCATGAGCTCCTTGGCCGAGTACTGCCTGCCCTCCATCCTGCGCACTCTGTTTGACTGGTACAAACGGCAAGTCGGCCTGGAGGAGGAGCTGCACGAGTACCGGCCCAGAGCCAACACCAAGTCCAAAACGTGAGATCGAGAGACGGCAAAACACTCGGCTCGATGCTGACATTGCCTGTGTGTCTGTTACAGTGATGAGCAGCAGCGGGATTATTTACTTGAAAGGAGGGATTTGGCGATCGACTTCATCTTCTCCCTTGCGCTCATAGAAGTGCTGAAGCAGGTGACTTCCTTTCCATGTTAAAGCACAGTCAACTCTCAAAACAGTGTCAACATTAGCATTTCACCTTGTATGGGCAAAACCATTTTTTTGCTATATCGAGCAAACTGGTTAACAGTACTGGATGACGCAGTCACCATCGTTAGGGGAGCAACATATATGTTTAAAAAAAAAAATCCGGGTACCAGTGCTAAAAATGCTAACTTATTAAGCTTGGGCCAGGATCAGCCCAAGTTTACTTTTAAAGATAATAGTGCTTAGTTTAGCAAGAGAATATACGCCCTGTCTCAATGATGTTCCTTATTTGTCTCCGTTGTATTCTGTTGTGTCTCCCGATGATTCTCCAGATGCCGCTGCACCCCGTACCCGACAGCTCGGTCAACGAGGTCATCAACTCAGCCTTTCAGCACTTTAGATACAAAGAAGGGTAAAGTTTTGCTTTGACTTTTCCACGAGCGTTTCTTGACCACTTTTGCGTGACCCCCTTTTCTTTTCTTTCTTTGACAGATATCACGGTCCGAACACTGGCAACATGCACACTGCAGCAGACCTTTACGCCGAGGTCATTGGCGTACTGGCTCAGTCCAAGTGAGTACATGCACTCTTATGGTATTCGGTGCTGAGGAATTCTCTCGCTGTGCCGCGGTGTCTCCAGTTCAGGAGAGTGGAACATGTTTTGGGACCTCTCATTTTTGGACATTTTACACCGTCGTACCAAACTAGGGCTGGAAATTGATGTGTGTCCAGTTGCTGTTGTTGCGGAACAAAGATCTGAAAATAGAACCAGGGTGGAGGCGCTCAAGAGCGTTTTATTAACCCTACACGGCCATGAATGAAATGTTGTTTCACACAGTTTATGCTCACAAAGACAAGATGCCGAATTTTCTCACAAGCGCACGGGCAGTCACCAAGAGTGGTGCTCATATGAACCCTTGTGATGAATTAGCAACTATAAATAGTCCGCCCGAAGAATCCCATCTCTGGCTCAATTTGAGAGGGATCAGGCGCTCAACCGGGAGCTCATCTTTACAGTGCAGACTCACTGTCTACAGTTTGGAGGGGGAGGAGGGGGCAGGGGTGATAGTTTGAGGAGGCATGCGTCTTGAAATAGAATCTCGAGTCTCCCTGGAATGGTGCCATGCTTTTATGACACTCAGGAAGTGCTGATTTCTCTGACGGGGTGACGCGTCTCACGTAGGACATGTGGTTGTGTTGATCGTCCTCAGGTTTCCTGCCGTGAAGAAGAAGTTCATGACGGAGCTGAAGGAGCTCAGGCAGAAAGAGCAGAGTCCATATGTAGTGAAGAGTACCATTAGCCTCATCATGGGAGTCAAGTTCTTTCGAATTAAGATGTATCCTGTTGAGGATTTCGAAGCTTCATTTCAGTTCATGCAGGTAATCGAAACATTTGGCGGATGTCGCGCTTGCGGGCTGTCGAGAGCAAATCCGAGCTCAGAAGAAGAAAGACAGATTGGGAAAAGATGCAAAATTCAAATAGTCAGAGAGGACTTTTCACACAGGGCTGGGTTTGTGAATTTGCTAACATTAAAAAAAAAAAAGATTCTATAGTGTTTGGAAGCTAGGCTCAGATGTCATCTAAAAAAAAAAAAAAAAAAAAAAAGATAAAATCTGTTTACCGCTTGTGTAAATGTGTTCTTTGCAGGAATGCGCCCAATACTTCCTGGAGGTTAAGGACAAAGACATTAAGCACGCCTTGGCTGGGCTCTTTGTTGAAATTTTGATTCCTGTTGCGGCAGTAAGCTACTTTGGCGCTTTGCCATACAGATATTGTCAAGTTTATCAAACGGAGATTCTCCCGTGGGGAAAACAAAAAAAACACTCTTAAGACGAAGTCTTGTGCTTATGCGACTGTCCTTGTCGCAGGCGGTGAAGAATGAGGTGAACGTTCCCTGCCTGAGGAACTTTGTGGACAGCTTGTATGACACAACGCTCGACCTGTCGGCCAGAAAGAAGCATTCGCTGGTTAGTGAACAGCTGCAAAACAAGCTCACTGGCATCTTTCATTTCACCGCTGCGCTACATATCTCCGTCGACTGGATTTCATCACACTTGTGCAATATAACGGGACGATGTTTGCCTGTGCTCCTTTTGTGGTAGACTTGTTCCACCAATTCTGTGTCTGTTGGTGAAACGAGATGTCAGGGCTCATTCACTTCATTTTCCGACATGATTTGATTCATCCCCCTTGCCCCCACGACAGGCGTTTTACCCGCTCGTGACTTGCCTGCTGTGCGTCAGCCAGAAGCAGTTCTTCCTCAACAGATGGCACGTCTTCCTCAACAACTGCCTCTCAAATCTCAAGGTAATGTGATGTCATTCAGATTAGAGACCGTCCGTCCCCACTACGTTGGCAGAATGCCACGGTGTAATTCTCCACTCGGGGTGTGATTGCGTTGCAGAGTCGAGACCTCAAGCTGGCTCGCGTGGCGCTGGAGTCTCTGTATCGCCTGCTGTGGGTCTACATGATCAGGATCAAGTGCGAGAGTAACATTGCAACGCAAGGGTGGGCATCCTCACGCTCTGTCCAAATACGTACAGTACACTACGTGCACTTGACGCAGTGCGCACCGAGCTGCCCCCCCCCCCATCTCCTCCAACTTCCCAACTTACTCTTTCCTTCATTCGTTCTTTGTTTCAAAACCATGCATTATATTTGTAAATGCAGAAACGAGTTACTTTGCTTTTGTCAGTTACCGGTACCCTTATTTGTATCTGTTTATCTGGCTATTTTCCTATCCAAACTGAGCATTATTGAATTAAAATAGCGAGCAAGCATTCACACCTGTGCTTAAAAAAAAAAAAAAAGGAAAAAAGGAAAACTAGCTTTTTTTTAGCATCGTTTGTGGTTTATTGTTGTTGTGAATTACAGCATTCGCGATTTTCTCTTGTATTTTGTCCACAGCCGCCTCAACACCATTGTAACGACGCTTTTCCCCAAAGGCTCTCGCAGTGTGGTGCCGAGAGACATGCCTCTCAACATCTTTGTCAAAATCATCCAGTTTATTGCACAGGTGAGCACAAAGCTGCCTCACGGTAACACTTCCTGTTGGTCTACTGTTAGCCCTATCTTCTTTCCTCTGATTTCATGGCAGGAAAGACTTGATTTTGCGATGAAAGACATTATTTTTGACCTCCTGTGTGTGGGGAAACCTGCAAAAGCCTTCAGTCTTAATCCGGAGGTACCAACACACTGGAAATAAGCATCACGGAAAACTGCATTCAACCTGACTGTAAACCAAGTGTCCTATCTGTGCAGAGAATGAATATCGGTCTGAGAGCTTTCCTGGTGGTGGCGGACAGACTTCAGCAGAAGGACGGCGAGCCGCCGATGCCCAACACCGGCTGCACTTTACCCTCGGGGAACACGCTGCGAGTAAAGAAGACCTACCTGAGCAAAACGCTAACGGACGAGGAGGCCAAAGTCATCGGTAAACGGAGTGACACCGTGGACATGAATTCCCTTCAAAATATAACAATGATAGAAAAACTGTTTATTTCTTTCCATATTGTTTTTACTATATCATGACTGTTTGTGTTTTTTTTTTTTTTTTTTGTGGCATAATACTTTCCGGTGCTGTTTTCTTTCTTAAAAAAATATGAACAAAAAATGTTTTTTCAGGAACAGATTCGTGGCATTTCAATTCATTCGAATGCTGACATTTTGTGTATGGTCATGGACTGAGTTATATTGGTAAGTCAATGTATTTCCTCCCCTCCAGGGATGTCCCAGTATTACTACCACGTGCGTAAGGCTATTGACAACATCCTAAGACACCTGGACAAGGAGGTGGGACGCTGCATGATGATGACCAACGCTCAGATGTTGAACAAAGAGCCCGAGGACATGATCACGTACGTATGCTCAAGATGACAGAACTCAACCACGATGTGTCATTTGTTCTTTCCACCAAACTCCCAGGTCACAATATGAGCCCTGAATCAAATTCAGTCCTGTGGCCCATTTTTCCATATTTTGGATCTAACCCTAAGATTTTTATCTGGAAAAAAAAATGTGTGTGGGTGTTAGATTAAAAAATAATAATAATAATTTACACTTTTTCATTTTTGGATTGTCGATTTCAAGTTGAAAATAAAAAGAGCAAATGATAAATGGATTTATGACACTTGCCTCAAAACCAGTATGTTTAATATGTACGCAAAATGTGTGGCAGGGGTGAAAGGAAGCCCAAGATTGACTTGTTCAGGACGTGCGTGGCAGCCATTCCTCGCATGATGCCCGACGGGATGTCAAAGACGGAGCTCGTCGACCTGCTCTCCCGGTGAGATGATGAACAGTTGGCAAAAAGGATGCTACATTTTTCCCCCCCCTCACGATTCCGTTGTAAAAATGTGTTTTCCTTGTCCATTAGACTGACGATCCACATGGACGACGAGCTCCGACTCATCGCTCAGAACTCTTTGCAAAGTCTGCTGGTGGACTTCTTGGACTGGCGGGAAGAGGTGCTGTTCGGGTTCGCCGGCTTTGTGCTACGTGAGGTCCATGACTCCCACCAGGGGCTGTTAGACGGGTCGCTCAAGCTACTGCTGCAGCTCCTCACCCAGTGGAAACTGACGGCAGCGGTGGCGGGGAAGAGCTACCACGTGGCTAGGATACACACTGCCGAGGTGCTTAAATACTTGATGGATCATTTGCTTAACCCAAGTAAGGACTTGACTTGCTTGACACTTAGTAGGGACTCAACTCGGTTGATTTTTGCCACAGTTCCCTCAGACTCGCTTGGAACTGGAAATGCATGTTTTCATCTGGTCGCCGCAATCTCTGAATCCTTGTTTTTTGTCATCCGTAAGCTGCTGCAGACAAGCTCCGGCGTGAAGACGGCGGCTGAGCGAGGCCCCCACGCCGCCGTCTTGCATGCCATAGAGGGCCTGGCCCTCATGCTGCTCTGCTCCTGCCGGCTCAGCACTCGAAGGCTCGCCGTCGCCGTGCTCAAGGAGATCCGCAGCCTCTTTGCTGCGGTCGGGCAGTCGGAGGTAAGATCGCAGGCGGCAAGGTGACGGAACGTGCTGCGCTGTTGAGTTCAGAGTCCCACGTTGTCTTCTGCAGGATGACGATAAGCCAATGATCGAGGTCATGGACCAGCTCAGCCCTGTGATCGTGGACAGCTTCGTCAGCGTGGCCGTCTCTGACACAGTAAGTTGTATGAGTCTTGCAAAATTCCATCAGAGCCTCAAATGAGCCACTGAGAACTTAGAGGGCTATAAAACTTCTGTCATTTGTAACTTAATATCACAATAGGTAACGATCCTCATTCGAAAACAAACCCTTCTTCTTTTAATTTGAATAGTGATTTCCACTTCTCATTGTTTTTGACCATGATTTCACATTTAATTCAAGTCAGCATTTTTACCTTGACTGAGTCGTATGCGAAGCTTTACGTAAATGTGCCATTTTCCAGGACGGCACATCCGCCGGCCCCCACGTGGACCTCCAGTGGCTCGCCGAGTGGAACGCCCGGCTGGGCAACAGCCACTACGACATCCGCAGCCCATCGCACGTGTGGATCCTGGCGCAGTCGGTGAAAGACCCGTGGGTGCTGTGCATGTACAGCCTGCTGCGACAAGACTACCTGCCCAAGCATTGCCCCACCGCCCTCGGCTACGCGTGGCCCTACGCCTTCGCTCGGCTGCAGATGCTCATGCCATTGGTCGACCCCAAGTGAGAGTTAATTAATCGGCTTTATTTACACAGGAATAGACAATATCAAATAACAACATATGCATGCATACAAATATAACAAAATGAACCGAATTTAAAAAGTCTCTATATTGCAGTTTTCAAAAATATTTTTTTAATTTTAAAAATTGTTTTTTGATTCTCCAAATTTGTGACAAATTTTTACATCTTAAAAAAATAGTCATTTCGAAAATATAGTGTGCTATTTCACAACCCATTCAACCTTGAATTCTTCCAATTATTTTTTAGTCCTGCATTCATACATTCAAATATTTTACAGTTTCATATTTTAAAAATGTTTTAATATGCAGCAATTTAACACCTTTTTTTACTTAAAAAAATCCCCATGAAATACTTGTTGCAGTTTGCTGCTGGCTGTATTAAAGTTTATAAAACCAGTTTATTTCTCTATTTTGTATTTTACAAAGTTTTTATACAATACAGTGCTATTTGTTTTCATTAAAACCCCGTAATACAAAACACAATACATGAACTTCATGGACAATGTGCAACACATGCTATCTGATACCAAACTCGCGTGTTCTAAATAACCTTGTGAATTTCCAGTCACCCGGCGAATGCGAAGAAGACCAGCAGCACCTCGAGCAGCGCCGACAACTACGTGACTCTGTGGAGGAACTATTTGATCCTTTGCTTCGGGGTGGCCAAGCCCAGCATCATGAGTGCGGGTCACCTGAGAGCAACCACACCCGAGATCGCCGCGGCCACGCCCGACAGCGCCGCCAGCTGCGACAACAAGGTCAGAGATGTGACTTGACTGATCGAATGTGGCGGGATCAATTACATGGCCGCAACAAAATGAAACCTTCTTGGTGCTTCGATTAAAAATATTTTTCCCCTCTTCACTTATAGAAAAAGCATATTTCAGTTATTCACATTAGGATGGCCGCAACAAAATGAAACCTTCTTGGTGCTTCGCTTTGCTTTTGCTTGTCTTATTTCCATCTATCCATTCACTATCCGAGCTGCTTATCCTCCCGAGTTGTCTTCATGCAATGTCTGTGAAGTTCAATGGAAAATGTCAACTTTTGGGAGATAAAATGCCTCGAAGGCAATGGAGTGATCCTGATTCAATACATTTGTTCTTAATAAAAGCCTCCGATTTTCTGTGATAATACGTTTATGTCTCAGGTGGTCCCAGGCTGCCCGTCCGTGGCTTGGCTCCTGAAGCAGTTGGTCCCCCTCATGAGGTCGGAGAGCGTGGAGCTGACTGAGGCTTTGGTTCTGGGCTTTGGCCGCACTAACTCCCTCGTCTTCAGGTATTTGGTAGCCTCGTTCAGCCCCCTCTGTTCAGCAACAGGGGTGCGGTGAGCTGGAAGTCAGAGCCTGATGTCATTAAAGTGGACTGACCTGCATTCATTTGGGCGAAGCAGAGGATTATGGTCATGCATCTCAAATGCTTTCGAATAAAACATTTTTTTTAGGTTGAATGCAGTTAGAGAATTCTTTGTAGTAGCTTTTTGACTGACACGACGACCGATGTTGTCTGTCTGACCTCAGGGAACTTGTGGAGGAACTGCATCCGCTCATGAAGGAAGCACTGGAAAGGAGACCTGAGGTTGGTTGGTTTGATTTCCATTAGAGCAAACGACAAGCACAACTATACAGACTACTAAGTTGTTAAATGGAGACAAGGCAAGGCAAGAGAGCTTTAGTCACTGTGTATGGCACATTCCCGCTCAATTGTGCTTTAAAAACATTTAAAACAGAGCACATCAATTAAGCAAACTAAAATTACTAAAAGTAATACGGTGCAAGAAGAAGTTTTTTTTTTTAAGTTTGAAAATGCTTTCTAAGAGCTCAATCATAAGCATGATAATAAAAGTATGTTTTTTTAAACTTGGACTTGAATTGAGAGAATTCAGTGAAGGTGCTGCTGGATAATTTCTACAGAATAAGAAGCGGCGTGAACGCCGGGACCTTCTGCGACTTCAACTGCTGCGCATTTTCGAGCTGCTGGCAGATGCGGGTGTAATCAGTGACAGGTCGGTTCCCCTCACAACAACGAGCAGCAAACCCATTTTTTATTGTTTTTTTAGTTTTATTAACTTTTTTCACGCAGTACAACCGGGGCTCTGGAGCGTGACACTCTCGCCCTGGGTGCCCTCTTCCTGGAGTACGTGGATCTGACGCGGATGCTCCTGGAAGCCGAGAACGACAGAGACGCGGAGATCCTCAGGGACATTCGAATTCACTTCAGCGCCATGGTGGCCAACCTCATTCAGTGTGTGCCAGGTAGTTGCAAACATTTTCTTTGTCTGCTTTGGGTGATGGTGGCAGAAGTCCTCACACTCTGTACTAAAGTAAAAGTACAGACACTGACAAGAAAAAAGCCCATAAAAGTGGAAGCACTGATTCAGCTTCAGTACTTGAGTAAAAGTAAAACAGTACAGACTATGAAATGTGCAAAGGTAAACTTTTTTTTTTTTTTTACCGTACAGTGGATATAAAGAATCTCACCCCCTATTCAAATGGCCAAAAAGTGCTCTAGAAAGAGTTTTGTTCACTTGGATGGTGCTCATACTGAGAAGAACAAGGCTCGTTGATGTTGGCTCATGCAGAAATAATATCTTTGCTAACATTGTGAACGGGCTAATTGTTAAGTTCGCTGATGAGGACAACAGAAAAAAAAATCGACCTTACTTCCAAACCCTGGTTATCCGACATACGGTAAGATATTGATTGGAAGAGTTGCGCAAATTGAGGTTCTTCAGGACACAAGCATCATATGTTACTGGATGCTTAATGAGAAAATTCAATTTTGGCGCTTGAGTGTTTAGGAGGCTTAAACAGTCTGCTGACTTTCTGCTAATTAATTGAGACGACAAATAAGAGCCTGTCTGGTTTCCCCTCCTCAGTGCACCACAGGCGCTTCCTGTTTCCGCAGCAGAGCCTCCGACATCATCTTTTCATCCTCTTCAGTCAGTGGGCGGGGCCCTTTAGCATCATGTTCACCCCCTTGGACCGCTACAGTGACAGGACTCACCAGATCACGCGCTACCAGTATTGCGCCTTAAAGGTAAGGGGCCTTTCCGTCTCCTTGTTAGTACACTACCAACATGGAATGGTATGGAATGCACTCGCATGTGGGCAAGGAGAGCTATAGTCGCTGATGCACCTTCACATGTTGAATGAATGGTGCAATCAATACAAACACTCTGCGTATAAATATTTAATTCATGTGCAATTCCGTTTAACTGATGTGTAGTACATTTTCATTTATTTTCCGAACAGAGTTAAAGTATAAACACTGCATCTTGTTACAAAAATGTGAGCGTGAATGTTGTTTGTTGATATAAATGCCAGTTTGCTTTATTGCAATTGCTTGCCAAACAAGCGCGTACCACGCTTCCCAAACCCAAAGCCAGCTTGACGAGGCTCGAGTTCCCACTATTGTGGTCTACATTGAGCGCTACAGAAAATGGATGGATGAGCGTGAGTACGCCTATTACTCTGCATTCTTGCAGGCCATGTCTGCCGTGTTGTGCTGCGGCCCGGTCTTTGACAACGTGGGCCTCTCTCCGGATGGCTACCTCTACAAGTGGCTGGACAACATCCTAGCCTGGCAGGACCAGCGGGTATGCAATGTTTACTTTCATGTGGACGCTTCATTTGAGACACAGTTCTTTTTTTTTTTTTTTTTTTTTTTTGCTGAGGCTCTCCTCTCGACTCAGGTCCACCAGCTGGGATGTGAAGTGGTCATCCTGCTCTTGGAGCTCAACGCCGACCAAGTCAACCTGTTCAACTGGGCCGTGGATCGCTGCTACACGGGCTCCTACCGGCTCGCCTCAGGTTGCTTCAAGGCTATTGCGATGGTGTGCGGCCGCAGGTACAAAGAAATCATCTGATGAATAATAATGACAGTGTTATTGTTATTATTATTATTATTATTATTATTATTGGTGACTACTTGAAAATTCTTCATTGTTGGGGTATTTTGACAAAAGCATTTACGGAGACATCTGACAATAGTTTTGAATTGTGGAGTTGGGGGGGATGACCCTTAAATGTCCACTTTTTCTTTGTTGTGACTTGCAGAAACTACCCAAGCGATATAGTGACGCTGCTCAATCTGGTCCTCTTCAAGGCATCCGATGCCAGCAGAGAGATTTATGAAATTTCTATGCAACTGATGCAGGTGAGATAAAGACACGCCTCCTCACAAGTCCTTAGTTGAGCATTGGTGTGACGAGTACACTCTTCCCGTTCTCCTGTTTTGGAGTAGATTCTCGAGGCCAGGCTGTTTGTGGACTCCAAGAAGATGGCTGGGCAGAAGCCTAACGGCATCCTTTACGGCACTCACGCTGGGTTGCCGCCTCTCTACAGCATCTCGCTCCCTCAGCTCTCCAGCCAGTTGGCCAGGATGTATCCTGAACTCACGCTCCCGCTTTTTTCAGGTGGTGTAGAAAGTCTTGTTTGGATGCATGTCTTGTTTGTGTTTGTTTGCTACAAATAATGAACCGCTGTAATACTTGCAGAACTGTCCTCTTTATTGAACCAGGGGTAGGCAAAGTATGACCCGCAAGTAACATAGAGTCCACAGAGCTGTTCTAACATTATCAAGAACATAATGTAATATTTGTTGAGTAATGTAAAAAAAACCCGATTTATTCATTTATTTTCTTATTGTATATGTTGTGTTATTGTGCATAATTTCTCTTTTTGTTGCCTCATCTATTTATGACCTGGTCCATTTGTTTGATTTGAAGTATCAAAGGTGGCCCTTGTTGAGTACATTTTGCCCAGCCTTGCGCCGCATGCAGCTTACTCGGATAGGAGTGTGATGTTCCTCTGAGGATTTATTTATGTGTGCTCCAGAGGTTAGCCAGAGGTTCCCCAGCACCCACCCCAACGGGAGACAGATCATGCTGACTTATCTCCTACCCTGGCTCAGCAACATAGAGCTGGTAGATAGCGGCCTGCTGCTCCCGGCCTTCACGCCGTCTTCCTCCTCCGACGACTCCTCTACAAGGGGGCGCACCTCTGCCTCCCCCCAGCAGATTCTGAGGGGAACCGGCTGGGGCTCCCAGCAAGCCACGTCCCTGGTGCTCAACAACCTCATGTACATGACCGCCAAGGTAAATTCATCTTGCGGCGGTCATAACAAACTCCCCATTTATTGCGGGTGATACATTCCAGACCCAAACGCAATGCATGAAAATCTCCAATAAAGTATTAAAAAAAATCGGATAAATGTAGGTAAAAGGACAGTAAGGTCAGGTACTAGATCGTTAAATAAATAAAGGTATTTAGATAATGGAAGTGGGTAAGTGTAGGGTGGTGAAAAGAAGCTACAGATATGGGGTTCCACAGGGTTAAATTTTAGAGCCCTGCTTTTCTCCTTTTGTTTCCCTTGAATTCCATACTGAGAAGGTTTCATATTCCCTTTCATAGCTACTAAAGTTGAGTTCAGCAAAAGGTAGGTAGGGAAAGAAGATCCTTTAAAAAAAATAATAATTTGCTTAAAAATTCACAATACAGCGCTGGTGCAAAGAATGAACCGTGATATGGGCAGCTGGATATGACCATCTGAGATATTATGCCAAAGGACCTGGACCTCAAATCAAATTCCACCAAATGCGAACATCAACTCCTTGGCTGCGGCATTTCGGACTGAGCTGACGGCATTGTTTTTGTATTTGGCCAGTTTGGAGATGACTTACCAGGATCTGAAATGGAAAATGCCTGGAATGCTTTGGTGTGCAACGAAAAGTGGAGCCACAACCTGCGAACCGCGCTGCAATTTCTCATCAGCCTATGTGGCGTCAGCAGCGACACAGCGCTCCTGCCGTTCGTAAGACAAATGCTACAACTTTCTGGTTTCGTCTTTTGTGCCACTATGGAAAGCATGAAAGTTGAATTGATTCATTCCCAGGACCGAAAGAGTCGGCAAAAATTTAACTATTGAATGGAAAGTGATGAATTGCATAAATCATGGATGTATTTACATGATGGATGTCTTCTATTTAGCCTACATGTTTTTGGGGGGAGGGAAGTCTGCTGAATAGGGATTGGAAAACGATTGACATTTTGGGGAAGGTGGGTAGCGTTAGGAACTTCTGCTTTTAGCTTAACATGTTCTTTTCTATGATAATCTTCCCCCTGTGTGCTCAGATTAAGAAGGTGGTGATCTATCTGTGTCGAAACAACACCATGCAAACCATGGAGGAGTTGATTTGGGAGTTGCAGCAGACGGACCCGGTCAACCCGATGGTCCAGCACTGCGACAGCCCGCCGTTTTATCGTTTCACCGCCTCGAGCAAGGCCGCTGTCAACGCAGCGTCAGGTAACTCCTGGGCGGGCAGCTGACAAAGCACCTAACTGATTGTAAGCAAACAGGTTGGCTTTCGGACTCTTTCCCCAGGAACCGCATCGAGTGCCAATAATGTGGTGGCAGGACAGGAGAGCTTCCTGGATGCAGATGAATACAAGACAAAGGACAATGAGGAGAGGTGAAATCACAAACGTTGCGACAAATGATCAAATTTGGCACAATTAACATGATGTGTTTACCCTGCACCACAGGAACATCTTTCAAGCTTGGAAATCGGATTTGGAAATTTGATAATCAGACTTTTAAGACGTTGATTAGAAGGGGGACAAATGGTCAAATTTGTTCTGATTATCGTATGTGGGCACCGCGCAGCACCAGATAATCGTTCACGATAATCTTTGAGAAATTGCCTAAAATTGGAACTTTGGCTCGAAAGGGGAGACACACAACATTTAGAGACTTCCAAGAATCAGCCTTTTGCTGGTTTGATCAGAAGAGAAGACAAATACTCCATTTTGACAAAATATGTCCTGGTTATTGAAATGTGTGTACCCCACTGACGTGAGTGATGCGTGTCCCTCCTCAGGCTCAGCCATGTCATGCGAGCTCACCACCGCCTGGAATCTGGCTACAGCAACAGTTCGGGAGGGTCATATGATGAAGGTAAATCTAAGTGTATTTCAGCGCCTCTCGCCATCATCAATAATTCCATCACCGTCTGGCGAGAGCAGGCCGGAGGGATAAAAAGATGGCGACGGGCATCGGTGTCATTGATAATGCATAGGCACGGTGCATGCAGAGTGTCCCGGGGCTCTTTGAAAAGGCTTCTGTGAGAAATGGCATTGACGAGCAGCCAGTCTCGAGCCTTTCTTATGGGCTGAAATGCAACTTTGTTACACCCTTTTGGTTTGAGTTTATGCCATCAAGTTGTCCTTAAATGGCTTTGTTTTTAAGTGGCAACCTCAACCTCCCTCTCTAGTTTTACACCCCTGCCTAGAGGATATAGTAGAGGTGTTGCTTTGTTAGTTAGTGGGATTACGCCAAGAGTATAAATGGCACAGTACCATCTGTCTGTCCACTGAGTTCAGGTGAGCAATTTGAATCATGACTGCATGGAACTTACTGGAAATGGTCAACAACCAGATTTGGTTGAGCTTGTGTTGGCTTTAGTGCGAGACACGAGAAGAACGTCACTTCTCCCAGCCGAAACGAAAACAACAGGAGAAATAAACCTGTTTAAATGAGCATTCATGTATCTATCTAGCTGCCTAGCTAACAACATAAGATAACTAGCATCGACAGTGTTTAACCAACAAGCTAACTAGCATCTGGCTAGTTAACAGGCTGAACTACCTCACATGTACTAATAATTTAAACTAACTAGCATATTACTAGATAACAAAATAAACTAACCAACGTTCAGCTAGCGACCAGCCATTTTATCTTATCTTATTTTATTTTATCTCGCCATCTATTTTAGTTTGATGCCATAGTGCCTCCACAGGTGAACCTCTCCCCCCTTATGCTGACTGGCTGATGGCCGTGGTTGAAAGCAACCGCCCCCTTCCTCTGCCGATGCCTGTCAACGGCGGTTGCTGGGCTCCTCTGGTGGACTTCCTGCCCGAGACCCTCACCCCGAGAGGACCTCTACACAGGTCTGGACTCAGTGATACTGTACCACTTTTGATTCACTCCCTGATGATCTTTGACTTATCAAAGCAGTTAATTTCAATGCACGGTGAGGCTGAGATTAAGTTCCTGCCGTGTCGCGTTCACAAGTTTGTGTTTTAAGGACTTTTTTTCCCTCCCAGGTGTAACATAGGAGTCATATTCATGACAGAGATGGTGGTGGACCACAGTGTACAGGAGGACTGGGCCCTGCACCTCCCGCTGCTGCTGCATGCCTTATTTTTGGGTAAGTTTATACTATAATTTGTCGTCTTCTCAGAAACCCTGACTATGTGATTAAGTTAACTCATGTGATATAGTGTGTATTTTAAGTCGCGCGTAAGTTGTACTGCGGCTTTCTGTGCATGTCACACTGAGGTCAGTTAAGGGAGAGCGTACATTTTCTATACTGCTTATCCTCATTTGGATTTGTGGGTACGATGCAGCTTATCCCAGCTGACTTTGGGTGAGAGGAGAGGGTATACCCTGGACTGATCGCCAGCCAATCACAGTCCGCATATAGATAAACAAGCATAAAAAAGAATTCATGTCATTGATCGTATTCGGTCTGCCTTTGGCCCTTGCTCATGACATATCAGGGTGTGTTTATTCGTGGTGCCACTCAGAAGCACAGGTGATGTCATGGTCTTCTCATCCTCAGGCATGGACCACTACCGTCCGGAGGTATATGAGCACAGCAAGCGTCTCCTCCTTCACCTGCTCATCGCGCTGTCCTGCCGCCACAACTTCCAGGCCGTCGCCTCGGTGCTGCTGCAGAACCGCCAGCTCGACGAAGCCAAGACTCTCACTTGCCAGCCCGCCCTTCAGCCCGAGTTCATAACATCAGGTATAAGACAAAGAGAAGAAAAAAAAAAAAGGCAGAAAAAAAAAATAAATGCAGAAGTCGGCATTGGTGCGAACGTCAAGAAGGGGAATGGCTTACATTTCTGTCGGAATGCTTGTAGATAAGTCTCTTATCTGAGGTGAGCATATTTGGAGCTTGTTCCAAAAGCAATATGCAGCGCTGGGGGACTTCAAAGGTCTTGATTAAAGCATTCCACGTGGCTATTTTTACCCGTTTGCCCCAAGTGGAGCCATCTGTCAAAGCTCTAATGCGCTGCTGTGGCTTCGCAGTTCCCTACGTGGTCAACTACGGTAGGTTTTCTCCCGAGGTGGCAGAAGTACTCATACTCTGTGCTTATAGTGGAGCATCTACGTAAAAGACTCCTTAAAATGCCAACATGAGACTGAAATTTGGAACACATGCTCTTCAGATCCCCCCAAAATACTGCTGCCCACACAAAATCCCTCTCATAAATGTAGTAAACCCCGAAAAAAAGTTGGCTGTTGCGGATATTTTGGTACCAAGATTTTTTTTTCCCTAAATGTCAAGCCATTCTAGATTTTCCAAAGGGTTTATGTTGCTAAAAGTAGTACAATAACACATCCCCACGGCACATAAATACATCATTACCCGGCTTCCCATTCCTTCCCGGCCCTTGTAAAGCGCATTTGCACTGTATGTGCAATTTGACAGATCCCATCAGCGCGCCATTTCCTCTGTTGTGCCCCAGGAGCTTTTGACTTTCTGAGGGAGGGTCAGGCATCTCCCGTGCCGGACTCCGGTCTGAGTTCCTCCTCCACGTCGTCCAGTCTGAGCCTTGGCGGGAGCAGCGGCAACCTGCCCGACATCTCGGACGAGCTGGCGGCCCGCGCCACCGCTGACAAAAAGACCGGCAAGCTCATTGAGTTTTTGACCACCAGGTACCATTGAGAACCATTAAATGCATGTGGAAAGGCTTGGTTGAGAATTCGCTGCATGTAGATTACCATTAAAAAAACAAAAAAACAAACAAAAAAAAAAGCAAATACTCCCTGGAGCTCATAAGCATGTAGATTGGACACCATCTAGTGGTGGAGACTGCAGGTTGATGTTAGAGTAATTACAAAATCAAATAAAATCTTGAAACAATAATTACCTATCATGGTTTCATGTGTACATATACCCCAAATTATGATCGCGAAAACACTTACAAACACAACCCTTGTGAATAAATGCCTTCCAGATGATTTGATCTGGAAACAAATTAGCCCCCGTAGTGCATGTGAATCGTGTGAACCATGTAAAATATTTAAAAATAATTGTGGTGCGTATGCATTTTGTAGAGCACGTGGACCCATGTGGTGCCACGAGGACATTTCACCCAAGAATCATGTTTCAAAAAGTACAGCCCAGCTAACAAACTTCTTGCGCCATGTCATGTCCGTGTTCAAAGAACCTGGTAAGCCTTCCGTCTAGATCCGACCTTTCCATCAACAGAACATGTGATTTGTTAATTTTTTTTAGCACATCATTCGATGTTTTCCGACCACCCTTCTAGAATCCCAGCTGGAGCAGCAGCTGAGCAACGTGGCCCTGCACACGGCCCTGTGCAGTTCCTCGCGTCATTACGCCGGGCGCTCCTTCCAAGTGTTCCGAGCACTGCGCCAGCCCATCTGCGCGCATGCCGTCTCCGATTTGCTCTCCAGGCTGGTAGAGGTCGTCGGGGAACACGGAGAGGAAGTGCAGGTTAGTGTGTGCATAAAACGTGAAACAAAAGACATTTTATATTCCAATATCAAAATGCTCAAGCAAACCGTAATGTATCATTTTATCTTACTCAAGTTAGCTGGCTTCATGCAAACATTAGTCACCATGATGACACAATAATTTCAAGTAATGACGAGACCAGAACACCCTCTCCCCCAAACTTAAAATCTAGTTTCTATTTTTATCCATTTTTAAAAAAGAAAAATCAACTTGCGGCCCGCTGGTCCAGTGGTTAGCACGTTGACCTCACACTGCAGAGGTTGTGGGTTTGATCCTGGCTCCGGCCTTCCTGTGTGGAGTTTGCGTGTTCTCCCCGCACCTGCGTGTAAAAAAGAAAATAAAATCGCAAAGACGTTGTTTCTGCTCACCTGTCGTCTTGCAGGGCTACGTGATGGAAGTTTTACTCACGCTGGAATCCGTGGTGGACAACTTGGCCGAGTGCCTCAAGAATAATGACTTTATGGCCATCTTGACCAGGTATGCCGAAATGCAGTCCAGTAAGACTTTAGGCACAACTTGCTGTTCTCGAACAAGAAGCTGAAGGGCAAAATTCCCAAACAGGTGTTTGCTCCATGAACGCCTCAAAACTCACTTGTATTCTTTGGCATTTGACTCAGCATGACTCAGATTTGTTCTTGGTTTTGCTGTTCGGTGCTTTCTACCGTCTTTGTTACTGATTTGTTGCTTTACTGTTGTATATGTTAGTTGCTCCATGTACAGCACTTTGTGTGCAGTGATGGCTGTTTGAAAGTGCTCTATAAATACAGTTGAGTTGAGTTGATTTCTGAACGCGACCTGTGATTGCAGAGCGTCATCTCCGGATCTCCTTACCACGCTGACGTTGATGTCCAACAGGAAGAGCACGGGGCAGCTCTACCGCCCCAGAGAAGAGCGCAGCCGGCATCAGAGGAGCTCCTCCGTGCCGAAGAAGTTCGGCGAGGCGGACAGGTGGACCGACCCGCCTCGCAGCGCCACCCTGGACCGCATCCAAGCGTGCGAGCAGCAGCCCCCGGCGGGCAAAAACCGCAGCCCGTCGTCCTCCAAGGACATCGTCTCGGACCCGGCCAACGTCAACCACCCCGGCAACCTCCTGGCCACCGTCTTCTGGGTGGCCGTGTCGCTGATGGAGTCCGATTTTGAGTTTGAGTACCAAATGTCGCTGAGGCTGCTGGACAAGCTGCTGGGCCACGTGTCGCTGGACAAGCGGGAGAACCGCGACAGGCTGGAGAAGCTGCAGGGCCAGCTGAAGTGGAGCAGCTTCACGGGCCTCCAGCAGCTGCTGCTCAAGGGCTTCACGTCCGCCACCACCGTCGACCTCACGCTGAAGCTCTTCTGGCAGCTCACGCCCGTTTCGCGGGTGTCCGTGGTGGACACCTCACAAGCTATTGGTGCGTTACACCCTTCCATCGCTTTTCAACATGTGGTCCACCTGATAAACGGGGGGAGCACAGTACTCCGAGAAGTCCGCTGTGAGGGTCTTTGTTTTCTACATTAGGTTTCCCCTTGAACGTCCTTTGCCTGCTCCCACATCTTGTGCAGAATTTTGATGGGCCCACACACTTCTGTCAGGATGTCGCCGAAAGGATCGCACAGGTTTTTTTTCCCACCGTCGTTCTACACGCGTCATTTCAGTAGTTTACTATGTTAAGCAGCGTGAATGTACAAACTATGCATGATGTAAAAGTGGCTTGAGCCTGACCAGACAGGATTTGTTTTTTATTTTTACAGCTACAATACATCTTACCTGTATTTTTAAGAACAGTTGAGTTGTTTTTAATCTTGAACTAAAAATACTTTGAATCTTTTATATCACGTTACAGTAGCTTTCAAACAGATGAAATAGACATTAGAGGAATCCAACCCCTTCCTGCTTTTTCATGAACACTACGCTGCTGTATTTTCATGTTGCTGGTATTTTATGAGGTGGTCAATGTTTGAGAAGCATCTTACCTCAGTATGTCTGTATCTAGGTGTGCCTTGACGAGAAAAATGACAAGCTCTCCAACCTGGCCCACGTCATGACTCTTTACAAGACGCACTCTTACACCCGCAACTGCTTCTCGTGGGTCAACGTGGTGTGCAGGTACCTCCACGAGGCCTTCTCGGACATCACGCTCAACCTGGTCACGTATATGGCGGAGGTTTGGCAAACAGTTGTTATAAATGTTGCTAAAGTCGCCTCTTCTTCTTCTCCTTGAAATTGTTGCCTTGTTGTGCCACAGCTGTTGGAAAAAGGTCTCCCCAGTATGCAGCAGACAATTTTACAGATCATCTACAGTCTGCTGAGTCACATGGACCTGAGTGGGATCCAAGCCAAAACTTTCAACATGGAAGTCCTCAGGACCATCGAGAAATTTGCCCAGGTGAGTCCTTTACTACGTTTGATAGTTGTAGTCACAGCACTACAACCATATTCACACATATTCAGATCATCAGGCAGTCCAGACTTGATGTCGCCAGAGAGGGAAACTGCTCCCATGAGGCCCAGTTCAAGCCACGACTGATAGTTTAGTCACTCAAGTGTGGAGTAGCGTTTTTTTGTTTTGACATAAGTGGCTTTGGAACCAAGATTCGGAAAGTACCAAAATGTTTGCAGACGGGAGTGGGTGGTCGGACTCCAAAAGGTCGTCTCGTGTCAGTGCAGTAAATTTGTAGACGCGCCCGAACTATAAACAGTTCCTGTCGAAAGTGATCTGGTCTCAGCTTCCCTCCGCGGCCCTCTGCCAGAACCTCTCTGTCTCTAAAAATAGACTCCATCAAATCACACAACAGCAACATGTCAATGGTGATGTTGTGCACCTGTGCCGACTGTAGACGGCCCACTGGAGGGAAGCGCTGAACATCCTCAAGTTGGTGGTGAGCCGCTCGGCCAGTTTGGTGCAGCCCTCCGGGGACCTCTCCTACGAGGACATCAGCCGAGTGTGGGAGCGCTCGTCTAAGGCCTTGCCTGGGAAAACGCTGGATTTCCACTTTGACATATCCGAGGTGAACGGCCTTCTTCTTACACAAGTTTATGTGAGACTTCTTTCTTTTCACACGCGGAAAACCTGTCCCTCTAAAACCCCCTCCCACCCACGGCCATTATTCCAGGGTGTGGTGGGTGTGGTGCAAAATCTTGCTGAAATTCTTCAGAAAAAGGGAAACATTTTACCCACCGCACCCTTTCCTTATGTTCCCCTCAAATGATGATTAGACTAGAAGCTGAAAAGGTAAACAAAATAAATAAGTGGCACCATGCATGGGGAGAAAAAAAAGGGGTGCCTGAGTGATGTGTGTGGGAATGGAACACAGAGCTATTTGTGTAGCGCATGAATGGCAGGATGTGATGTCACATCATTGCTGCCTGTCTTTTGTGCGCGTATCAGTGATTCTTTGCCAACAGCGTGCGTGTTTGTGTGTGTAACAACACCGAGACGCCTGGACAGGCTGCTAAGCCTCTTACTACACGAGTGTTCTTCAATTTACGCTGGGGAGTGCAGAGCGGATTTTTCTCCCTTACTTACAAGACCGCGTTTGTGTCAGACGCCCGTGATCGGTCGGCGCTACGATGACCTGCGTCCCTGCCCGGTCCGAGACGGCAAGAGTAGAAGCGCGGCGGTGACGCGCAGCACCTCCTCCTCCTCCGGCTCCCTGGGGTCCACGTCCAAGAACGTCTTGGTGCCGGTCAGCTGGAAGAGGCCTCAGTCTTCCCAGGTGATGACGCTGCGTTTCGGCGAACTTCATTAAAACGCTTTTACAGCTAGGTGCAGGAAAGGAAGCGAAATAAGCAGAGGTGAAAGTTGGGAGGGAAAGGAATGACGGAGGGAAGGGAGGATGTGGGCAGGTCAATAAGGACAGTCGGAAAAGCTTGCCGACTTTAATTCAAGGAGCCTTCCCTAATGAAGTCGTTGGGTAATGGAAGGTATGTCGTTGCTAGGTAGGAAGGAAGGAAGCGAGGGAAAGATGCATGACTCTTTCAATCAAGCCTCAGTCTTCCAGCTGATGTGACTGGAAGGTTCATTTTCGTTCAAGTCTTCCAGGTTCCCGTTTTTTTACCTCTGCTAAAGAGCTTGTTGTGTAGATAGGGACAAAAGCCTCGTTGAAAGTTTCTGCTGTTTCAAACACTGTTTTTCTTCCCATCTCTGCAGAAAAGAACCAGAGAGAAACTTGTGCACGTTTTATCTTTGTGCGGGCAGGAAGTGGGTCTCACAAAAAACCCTTCGGTAAAGCTACAGCGTAACGCGATCTCATCAGCATTGAAGAACGGCGGTTTTAACTTCTTTTTTTTTTTTTTTTTTAACCGGGTAAAGAGCTTGTTGTGTAGATAGGGACAAAAGCCTCGTTGAAAGTTTCTGCTGTTTCAAACACTGTTTTTCTTCCCATCTCTGCAGAAAAGAACCAGAGAGAAACTTGTGCACGTTTTATCTTTGTGCGGGCAGGAAGTGGGTCTCACAAAAAACCCTTCGGTAAAGCTACAGCGTAACGCGATCTCATCAGCATTGAAGAACGGCGGTTTTAACTTTTTTTTTTTTTTTTTTTAACCGGTGGCAGGTGATTTTCTCGAGCTGCGGCGAGCTAGATCTGATGGAGCACCAGCCGAGCCTGGTTTCATCCGAAGACGGAACTCGAGAAGCCGACACGGTGGACGACACCACCTCGGAGCAGCAGTTCCGGGTCTTCCGAGACTTTGACTTCCTGGATGTGGAGCTTGAAGACGGAGAGGTGAGTTCACTGCGGACATAAAGTACATGCCGCAGGATGACCTTGAGAGCAGTTGGATTTTCCTCACTTTTTTACTTTTGACCCCTTGCACATTTTTCAACCGATTCAAATCATTTACATCATGATGTAGTAATGTTGTATTTTCCTTTTTTTGTGCGCTATCCAGGAGTTGCAGGTAAGTTTCTCTGCTGTTTTTGCTGTGCGCGCATGCCACCACTTGTGCAGCGTGTTTGAGATGTGACTAATTCCTGGCAGATGAAGTATGCATGTTGTTTTGGTTGTTGTTTTTGACCTGCCTGTGGTTTATACTGGAACCCTAAAATTGTGGTTGTTAAATCACATGTTTAGTGACTATGTGCATTCAATACAAATTAAGAGGTCGATTTTTGTCATTTGTGTACAATAAATTAAAAATCAAAGGCACAATGGAAGTTAGAGATTTTTTTTTTTTCCCAAGGATGACCTTGAGAGCAGTTGGATTTTCCTCACTTTTTTACTTTTGACCCCTTGCACATTTTTCAACCGATTCAAATCATTTACATCATGATGTAGTAATGTTGTATTTTCCTTTTTTTGTGCGCTATCCAGGAGTTGCAGGTAAGTTTCTCTGCTGTTTTTGCTGTGCGCGCATGCCACCACTTGTGCAGCGTGTTTGAGATGTGACTAATTCCTGGCAGATGAAGTATGCATGTTGTTTTGGTTGTTGTTTTTGACCTGCCTGTGGTTTATACTGGAACCCTAAAATTGTGGTTGTTAAATCACATGTTTAGTGACTATGTGCATTCAATACAAATTAAGAGGTCGATTTTTGTCATTTGTGTACAATAAATTAAAAATCAAAGGCACAATGGAAGTTAGAGATTTTTTTTTTTTGCCTATATGATATTCCAGAGGCTTTTTTTTTTTTTTTTTGCTTGTCGCAGGGTGAGACGGTGGACAACTTCAACTGGGGTGTGCGCCGACACTCGGTCGACAGCCTGGACCAGAGCGACCTGCACGCACTGGAGGAGAGCCACCTGTCCAGCAGCATGCCCAGCCTGAGCCGCGTCACTGGCGAAGACGACTCGGAGGAGTCCTCCTCCGAGGAGGAGGAGGGGGAGGATTCCCTCTCGGCCAGCCAAATCCTCTCCCGCTCGCAGCTAGTAGGGGCACATTTTCTTTCTTGACTTATACAAGAGTCATTCACCCTTATTTGTCACTCCCAGTTAAAGTTGACATTTTAACGGATACATAAAGGAAAAGAGAATTTTAGAAAAAATTAATATTTAACCCTTTCAGGGACAGTGGTTACTACAGTGGACAGCTTATCATGTTATCAGATTACAGGGTGCGTGAAGAGGTTAAACAGCAACGTGTTCAGTCAAACTATATCATTTTGTCCACTAGTTTAATGCTAACATGCAATTTGAAATGCCATAGATGGACTTACGGAACGTAGTGTGGATGATTCAAGGCATTTACCCACTTTTCTCTGGTCAAATGACGTGTAAGGGTTTGTTTATTCGCGGCGCCGTCTCTTGCCAACCGGATGCGCTTCATATTCGGGCTGTTCCATATACCCAAAATGCAATAGCTGGATATTTTCACCCGATATCTCACTGATGATATTACTATGGGTTCGGTGAACACGATGCATTTTTTAAAAGAAAAAACAAAATATCCATGCGTTCACGGAATATTAAGTGTGCCATCCGTACATACTTGACAGCGAGCACAGAAGTGGATGTCTGGCATATGAACCTGCTTCTTTGCACTTGAGGAATGTGGCGCCCCATCGCCCACTGTTTTAAGCCATCTCCAACGTGTCTCTTTTCGCAGGCCGGCGACCTCTCCCCAACCGCCGAGATCCATAACATGGATTCTCCCTCCTTTTGTAGCAACATGTCGGCCAACTCCACGCCTCTCAGCAGCAAAAATCCCAGTTTCGAGGTCCAACTGCCGGAGGACTCGAAGCAGCGGGTGAATAAGGGCTTCAGGGTGTCTGAGATTCTGGAGACTACCAGCTCCTACCGCTCTTCTATTCTCGAGTTTTTCACCAATTTTGCTAAATAGTCGCTACGCTCGCTCTAACTTTGGGTTCTTCCTTCAACACTTTGGGTTCTTCTTAATACATTCTCCTCTCTGACTTTTCCTCTCCTTTAAAAGAGCATGTGACAATCGTGTTGTTTTCTTTTTGCATGGTAGAAGGGAATGAACTGGCAAAGCCGGCTTTATCATAACGCTTTATTTAATAGTAGAAATTATGATGGGATCGTAGAAGGGTTTTTTCCCCCTCTGTGTGTCGCTCTGCTATAAGAGGCAATGTGTATACCTACTGCTTCTATGTGCGGGCGGGGAGAACTCCTGTTTGGGCATGCGGGACCTACACAAGGTGTACACATTGCCGGCCCCCTAAATGAAAGAGTGTGCTGGGCTGCCGGGCTCGCACTTAAGACTCAAAATCAGTTGAATTGGCGCAACAAATCCTTCTAAAGAAAGACAAAAGCCTCGAGGAGCGTCCCTGGCAAGGTTAGTGCAACCATTTACCGCCACAAAATCATGATGTTGACAGCTGTGCATGTTATTTTTGGATACTGTGAACCCTCGCTATAGAGTTGATGAGCCCAAGCCCCAACGTGAAGAGTGGACATTTGCCAGTAAAATGAACATTTTAGAGTTGCCTTAGTACACTTGTCATGAAATCATTATTTCAAGATACGAGATGACCCAACTGTCACCATACACTTCCTTTTTTCCTCCAAAGTATTTCCGACATTTTTTGGGGGGTGTTGTGTTCTACCGAAAGTACGTACATTCGCAAAGTGCACATTGGCGAGGGTTCACTGTATTCACATTTTGCTGCCTAATGCATTGCTGTGTGTATATACATGCTGAAGAAGCACGTCTCCTGCTTTCTAACAGTTTTTACAAGCAGATGAAGACACAAACGTGGAGGACACGTCGCCGTCCGTAAGCTCCCTCCCTCCCGAGTTTCACTGCGGCGACACTCTGGAGGCTCCGCCTACTCTCTACAAAGATCCGGACCTCCACAGCTTCTTGCCCAGGTATGCCCATCTGGCTCTTTCCCCAGAAGGGAAGTAATATACTGGGGATGCATAGAACATATTCTAAAGAATTTTAATGACTCGACTTCCCCTTTGAACAACTGTTGTTGAACACAATACATGCGATAGAACAAACAACAAAAATACTCCCATATTTTATTTATCCTCTGTGAGTTTTATTATTGCAGCTTAGTTGCAATAGCCTTCATCTGTGTGTCATCATCAAACTTTTTCCACTCGTGCTGGCGAAACACGCCGACTGAACTCTTCTTTGGCCATCAGCCTCGCAGAGGAGGAGCGAGATGACGTCACGGTGGGCTCGGGCTCTTCGCCGCCACCCTCGCCCTTCTTCTCCGCCATCCTGGCGGCATTCCAGCCGGCGGCGTGCGACAACGCCGAGGAGGCCTGGCGCGCCCACCTAAACCAGCTGGTGTGCGACTCGGACGGCTCCTGCGCCGTCTACACCTTCCACGTGTTCTGCTGCCTCTTCCAGGTACGCCATCAAGTCTATTCAGAGCGGGCCTCATTCAAGGGAAACGCTGACGGGATCGCTCCTCTGCTTGATTGACTCTTGGACAAGAAGACTAATTATCCCTTTTTTTGCATATCCCGCTTTGAAGGACTTTTGCAAGACACGGTTGAGGAAAAAAAATGTAGCACAAAATCAACAGGCAGTGTGTGCATGTTTACTTAGGTCAGGGTTCGGGAGGCTTCTGTAGTCAAGTTGTAGTTTTTTTTTTTGTGTATCCCCTCATAACAGTGCAGTTGTAGACAAACTGTGACTTGAAGATGGCGCCTCTTACGTGTCTGTTTTTGGATCACAGAGTATCCAGAGCAAATTTAGCTCACTGACCTGCGACGCTGTGAGTTACCTCAACGACAGCCTGAGAGGATTAGGAGCAAAGTTGCTGAGGTCGTCTCAAATGCTGACCACGTGTGCCGAGTGCCCCTTGTTGTTTATTGACGCCGACACAGTGAGTCACCTGACCTGTCAGAAGATGAAAGCTTCCATTTCAAACGCTGTGTTGTATCGAAGGTATCTGGACCGCAACGCCTGGTGTTCACTGTTCACAGATCATGTCGTACGGTCTCCTGGATAAAATGAAATTCAGCGTGCTGGAGCTGCAAGAGTACCTGGATACTTACAACAGCAAAAAGGAGGCAACACTCACGGTAAGGAATGGTAAAGCAGGCTTGAATATATCTGGTTGAGTTGCAATCAATCATTCCACGTTCTGGTTCCAAGTGGCTGAGCAGCTGTAAGGCCACCTTCCTCCGAAGTCCTGACACGACACGCCAACCCATGGAGCAGGAGGAAAAGGTAACAGACGGTTGGGACTTAAAAAGCATCACACTGTCCATTAAAAGTCCATCAAAAATCCTTTTCTGGAGATCTTTTCTGAATGTTTTGGAAGAGCAGGTGCCAGGGTACTTGATGTACGACTGATGAAAAGCTCTCTTGCTTATGTGCATTTGGAATCGTGTTTAAAATCATTTCCACTCCAACTAACCTCTCACGCTGTATCTTCTGCATTGCGATCACTGTGACGCTGTAGCTCTGTGAGTGCTTCCCCTTACACACTTTTCATAAGCTTCTTTTGCCGCATGTCATCGTAAAGGGGGCATATTATGGAAAGTTTATTCTCACGTACCGTAATTTCCCACTGGTAAGACACCACCTAATATACTGTAATAGCATCCATCCATGATCTGGTCCATTCATCTTCAGGAGGGTCGCGAACGTGCTGCTTGCCAGCCAGTCGCAGGTCACACAAAGACAAACCACCACTTTAGAGCATTCAGTTACTTAGAAAGAAGAAATAAACTGCTTAGTTGACATGGTTAGGAAAACCCTGGGAACCGTTTTTAAAATCTTGAAAGAAATGCACAATATGTTTCCTAAGCTATTGTCACTCTACATTGCTGGCATGGATAGATGAACAAAGATAAATCAATCATTTTTAGTAAAGGCATAGGGACCAGTCAAATTCAGATTCAGATTCAGAAAACTTTATTCATCCCCATGGGGTAATTGGACTTAACAGGCACGCTTTGCACAAGAAACATGAAAAACAAAGACGAACATGGGATACAGTGCGAAGGGCCTGTCGGTAATCGCCGTAAGTACAGCGCCCCGAGTGAAATTGCATAGCGGCTCTGCTGCCTGTGCATGTGGGGGGGGGGGGGGGGACGCAAAGGGACTTGCACGGCAGCCCTTTGATTCTCTTTGCTTGCGGGGGGGGGGGGGGGGGGGGGGGGGGTGACGCAAAGTGACTTGCACGGCAGCCCTTTGATTCTCTTTGCTTGCTCACTTCTGTTTCTGTCCTGTGACATGCTCGCTTTGTAGCAAATGGAATCTCTTGCTGTAAGTTGGAGCGGGCTTCTTTTTCTCATTGTCATCATTTTAATTTCATGTCTGAAATTAGCTGCTTTAGGCTGGCCTTGGTTGTTTTACTTGCAGAACCGGTGACTCTGACGCAGGGAAGAAAGCAGAGTGTGAAAATGATTGAAAATAGTGTTTTTGCACATTTGTTTTCAGCAACTGGAGCTGTGTCAAAGACTCTACAAACTCCACTTTCAGCTGTTACTGCTGTTTCAGTCCTACTGTAAGCTGGTCGAGCAGGTCTACGCAATCAGCTCTCTTCCCAAAGTAGGTACACCAAGTGACGTCTTGACAAATAAAAAGAAAAAAAAGCACTCTGCAGTATTGTACTAACAATTAAACTGAATACAAAGAACTGAACAGTTGAGTTCGACACGTATGTAGACAAAGAAGACAGCCAGAACAGAGAGGAACTAAGTTTAGCCTGGGTTGTTGGCAGAGGTTGTGGAGAGTTTTCACCGCAGGTGCATGTTGTTTCTGTAAGCCATTGATTTTGAAGGGTGATGTCAGATGAGTTTGAAATGTGAGTGATTTTGGATGATAGCGCTGCAACCGCCTTGACTTTGTGACATGTTGCCGCCTGGACCCGTAGCTCAGCAACATGTCCCGAGAGCTGAGCGACTTGAGGAGCCAGTTGAGAGCGGCGTCGTTGGAAGATGACAAAAGGGCGCCAGGAGAGCCGTGCGCCTTCAGCTCGTCCGAGGCGGCCGTGCAGGCCATCTTGGAAGTTCTCAAGAGCGGCGGCTTCACCTCGGCCATTCGCTACATTCGGGAATGCAGGTGACATGGCGCAGGGATGAAACTGGACCATACTGGGGGAAGTGGAAACCCGAACTCGGAATATTCCCCAAATATTGAAGAGTTACTTTTCCATTTCAAACGGTACCCTTTTGGCTGGGTTTGAATGTTAAGTTTTGCCCATGAATTGATCATCAAATTCATTGCCAGTCATTTTGCGAATCGCAAAATCGTTCAGAGCCATAGTTTCACCAAAAATGATCCAAATTCTCTGATTTCAGCCTCACAAAGTAAATATTCTCTGTCATTGTTGCTTATTTCAAACCTTTAAAGCATCACAAATAAACAACTTGCATTGGTTAATTTTCATTTTTGGTGCAATTATTCAGAGAATCATTGATTCTGGAAATATTTGATAGTGACAGTGAGTTTAACTTGTGGACATCCTCTGTCAACCTACGGCGTAACCTCCAACGAAAATCTTTTTGTTTCCAGAACAACGTGGCCCAACGACATTTTCGGCAGCCCCTCGGAGGACGAGGTCCAGACCCTGCTCAGCATTTACTTCCGTCACCAGACGCTGGGCCAGACGGGCACCTTGGCTCTGGTGGGCTGCAAACGGGACCTGAGTGACGTCTCGGCCAAGCTGACCGAACTCAACGGGGAGATGCGCGACGTGATTGGCCGGGTACGCGGCTACTGGGCCGTCGCCGCCTTCCTGCCCGACGCCAAGGTGTCGGGATCCAGCCTCTGATCGCAATGCGCTCGACGGCTCTTCTTGCACTACTGACGCGGCATTCACACGCAACTGCGCCCGAAAAGAGTTCATGCCGCTTCTTTGGTCACCACCGCTTTTCCCTTTCCCCCTCAAAATTCTACACACCGACATGAAAAACATTTTTGACAGGGTGCATATGGGCAAACACTCACACAAGATACCAATATGAAATGTATTTATTTTTTGCTCTTTTCTTGAAAATAAGAAACAAAAGTCCCATATCCATAAATGTTGACAGTCTTTGCCCAATACATTTTTTATGCACCTTATCTTATCACAGGCTGAAATCTTCTTGACTCTGCCACAAGCTTGGCACACCGATTTCTGGGCACTTTGGCACAATATATACTTACCGGCCGCACACTAAACAGATATAACATACCAAAGCTTTGCAATTCATCTTAAAGGGGAATTGTGCAATTTTCTTTCACACACGTGGAAGAATTTTACTGTGCAGTAAAGAATGTATTTGAAAGGAAAACGTAAGAAGGGAGGACGTATTACTTAGTGATGTGTGTGTGTGCTTGTGTACGTGTGGGATTTTATCCGGCGGCTATTTTAGATGGGAATTACGGACGCCGATTTAAATGGACTGTAGTCAAACTACTTTGAAATGCTGCAGATCTACTGTAATGCTATGAGTGCGTTATGCATTACAAAAAAAAAAGTACTTTGTATTTGGAACAGCTTTTTAGCAAATGACATTTATATTTAAGGAAAACATTATTTTTTTGAGCCTGTTACACACTTCTTAGTTTCTTTGTGAACAAAACTATTTTCAATGAATAACTGTACATAGCGCTATTGGAAGCTTTATTCGAGTCTATTTTTATCAACTTGCAATGTGACTTGCCTGCGATTGGCTGGCAATCAGTTCAGGGTGCAGCCCGCCTACTTCCCCGAAGAAAGCTGGGATAGGCTCCTGCACGCCCGAGACCTTCAGGTTTGGATAATGGTTGGATAGAGTGCGATTTGCATATACAGTGAGTAGAAGAGATGCATATTTTTAAAGATGTAGAAGTTGTAGTTGGATGTTGTAAATAGTCTTTGCCATGTCCTGAATTTGGTGTTGTGTACACTTAATGTTACAATTAAAAATAAAATGTACCTTTGTCAAATATTGTTCATTTGTACAATGAATCTTTTGGGGATACTCCAACAGAAATGATGTGTGAATGGTGAAAAATGGACTACAATTCTGCAAATACCATGCAAAAAGGAGCGTAAGTGATGAATCTTATTTTGAAGGCAAGACGTTCATAAATACGTACTGTACATTTGTATTTCGATTATTTCGCCTCATAAATCTCTTATTTTGAAGGCGAGCCTTATGTAGTTCCGGTATTCAGTGAGGCGCGCGAGATTTGTTTGGTTCACAACTAGCTTAAATGTTAATGCCTTTAACATTAACTTGAAGCTTCGACACACTTCTGTCGAGTTCAGCTTGTTTGTTTTTTTTTTTTACAACTTTGATACGTTATGTGTCATGCTGTGGCGTTCTAAAAGTTGACCTCACGCCGTTATGGTAAGTGGAGTCGAATTCACATCGTTTTGTAATTTAATAGTGGGTCGAAAACGTCGTCTTTGTCTTTAACAGCTTTCAGGCTCGTCCGTGTCATTTTGAGTGTGTTCAATCTCAATCGAGCTTCATTTTATGGCTCCTGTCCCTCTGTAGGTGTGCCAAACAGGACCTAATATTCGGGACTACTTCAGCCTCGGGAGGTGGATTTCTTCCCTTCGCGGAGCATGTATGACTGTTTGACAGAAGAACTTTGCAAAGGTAACAAGACATAAACGACTGCAAATACAAATGTTAAAGGTCCACAAAAAATTTGCTCGATGAGCCGTTTGCCGTAGGGCCTGAGGCCACCCTACATTCCGATCGACGCCAAAGTCTTCTTTTCAATGACAGCAAATTTACGAAGTCAAATAAAATGTCGTTTCCATGATGACATTCAGTCGCTGAATCATGGACGTTTACTCGACTACCGTTTCCTTTTCTTGTTTACTTTCGACCCAAAATTTATACGCCACTCCCAACAAACAACAATCCATCTTGAGGCTTGATTGGATAATTTCACAGCATTTATTTTTCTTACCTCTGAACTTGGACCAAATGTCCTTTCACTCGCTGTCCACTTTTCTTTGAGCAGTGAATTTGTAAAATGATGTGCATTGCTTCGGATAATCTACCGAAAGGAAAAATGTCAACTCACACTGCTCCAAGAACCAGAGTATATACTTGCACTCGCAATCTGAGTGACCTCCAAACAGGCTGAGGAGAGGGTATGTGTGTTTTTGGGGTTTAATTAGTTAACTAGATGTATGGGTTTTAGTGCATGGGTTAGTGATTTATATGATAGTTTCAAATGTGCTTTTTGTTTTTCTCAACTACAGTCTTCTTCTTTTCATGACAGAGTTGGGACAGTTGGACCCCGACTGGTTCCAGGTGTTGACCACACGAGCGTCCTCTAAGGAAGGAAACCTCTCCGATTCGGACGACCAAGAAGAACTTTGTCCCAACCAGGAGGCAAACTTCAAGACGCCTTTGCGCAAAACTGCCGCTGCCGATGTGACCCAAAGTCAACACTCTTCGATTCCTCGGGTGTTCAGACGCAGCTATGTTCCATCCCCGGATAATGACGACCAACAAGGTGTGGAAAATTGCATTTCTGATTTGAATCCATTCAAATGATTCAATCAAGTCAGGTCAACTTGGGGTTTTCACCCAACATAATGATTGGAGCAAGCTCCCGTCAAGACAGTGAAAACCATGGCTTGTATTTTCACTCCTATGCCAGCAATTCAAAAGCCATCAAATTGCGCTGTGTAGTGCCAATAATAACTTAAATCTGTGCATCCAACAACACTGCCGTTCTGCTTCTAGTTGAGCTTTTTTTTTTTTTTTTTTTTTTGGCTAAGTGTCCAAAATGTGCACCTTTTTTTCCTTTTAGAGATTGAACCGCTGCCGTGGGACACCAGGAGTCCGTGTTTGTTTGGGCTTGCCAAGGACGCGTAAGTGAAGTGGCGCTTCCGGTGCGTGTTTCAATTCCTGGTAAATCTGTGAAACAAACTCCATGATGTCATCACACAGGGTCCCGCATTCAGATTATGGATATGCACGCCCACGCACTCCCAACTGGTTTGGTAATTACATTTTTTTTTTTTCACCTTTTAAAGTCGAAAATGTCCTTTCTTAATGGTTTTTGTTTTGTTTTGTTTCCCTCAGATCTGCTTCACACGCCACAAGTGTCCCCAGTAAGTTCATTTATTCTCGCATAAATGTGATACTATTGACATTAGAGGAAAATGGCAACAATTGAGTTTGAAATGATGCAGGCCAGTTACGCCCAACACATCTGCGAAAGCCTGGGCGCCGACATTCACCCCGATATCTCGTGGACCAGCTCGCTGAATACGCCGCCAGCTTTGCCTTCCACCCTCATTATATGTAAGCAAGAATTTTGTTGTATTCCTACTGTATGGAAAGCTTGACAACCGCATTGTTGCTTTTGTCAACCTGCAGCGAAGACAATTGAAAGTCCCAGCCCGAAGACATTTTGTATGGGCAAGAGTGCCGTGGTGAGTTTTTATTTACGCTTTGCATGTTGCTTGATATTTTAACTATACTGTATACTTGATGATGATATTTGTCACTTTTTCCTCAGCTGGTTCGGAAACTCTTCCCTTCTCTGTCCAACGATTCCAGACAGGGGGTCGCGTCACCACAAAGCAATGACTCGCTTGAGGTTCTGCAAGGTATTACAAATGCTGTGAGAGTTCTCCCTTGACTTGTGAGTTCAATTTATCCCGTGATGATGATCGTAAATCAAATAACAAACGATAATATCTTAAATCTCTTTCCCCCATTTAAATGAATGGAAAGCAATGAATACATCCCAGCACGTCACAACACATGACATTGCGTGCTGTACCGGGCATCCTCAGATGACAACAGTTCTGTATTTCAGCAGTGGCGTCATCCAAATTTGTATGCAAGTCAGAACATGTTGTAGTCTATCACAAACCAATGCTAATGAAATGGTGAAGTTGTAATTACTTGTATTAAAAAATACTTCCAGGCCACCCAAAACCATCTGAATCTGATGCTGCCAATGAATATTGAACAACTCTCCTTCTCCACTTTACAGATTCTGATTTCCCAGAGGCCGGCCCTCATCCAACGCTCCAAAAGTCCCCACGGCGATCCCCGGAGCAGAGCAATGGCACCCGGAGGCAGCCGCTCCCTGAGGCGATCCGTAGCCCGACGCCCAGTGTTCCTGACGGCACCGAAAACAGCCCACCCATGATTTTGACCAACAGCAGTTCGGTACTGAGGCAGGTGAAGAGCGAAAGAACGAGAAGGATGGAAGAAAAAGAACACGGCAGCAGCCCCTCGGATGTCTCAATTGAGTCCGAGCTTGCGTTTTCTGAGCAAAGAGAATCTGATCAAGCGCTATGCAGAAATCCTCCAGTGGAAACTGAAGATAGTGAACTGACACCGTGGTCACCGTTGCCTCTATCAGAAATTCCAGCCACCACCGTTGCCACCCAAGTGGAAGATAAATGCCCAACACAAGCGGAGAGTCCGGTCAAAGCATCTTTGAAGTGTGCTGGATTCACCCAGAAAAAGACGGCATTTATTTACACCATTGATAAGGAGAAACACTCGTTAAAAAACAACTCCGTGCAAGGTATTTCACAAAACGCCTCGATGTATACACTTGTTGTTGTCTCATGAAGTGTACATTTTTGCTCGAATTTCCCGCACACGCAGACTCACATTTTGATGTGGTACAAATTTGGTATCAATCGAGCACATTTTGATTTGAAGGAAATGGTGAACCTAAAACTTGTGTGTTTTGGAATTCATGAGTTGTTTATTTACTTTTGCAGGGGGGTGTTGTTAGTCATGATGGACCTTCTCTGAAATGTAATGACACTAAGTGAAACTGGCCTCAATGGGCTGAATTTTCAAAACATTCTCGATTCACATTTCAGAGCCCGGTACAATGTGGAGATCGTTGCCTTTCATTGGACATCAAGAGCATTGACTTTTGTACTTTCATTTCAGGTCATAAGCTGCCTGTTACGCAGATGTCGAAAGCCAACGATGGAGCCGGCGTTTGTAACGTCGGTGATGGAAAGGACGAGCTTCAGCAACGGGAAGCTGTCGCAAAAGAAAAGCTGCCTTCCTTGCTTCGAGTGAACACGAAGGATTTGGAGATGTCGCAGCTTTGCCGAGCGTTTGCGCAAGACTTGAGTCAAATGTCCTATCCGGGCGCACCGCCTCAAGTGGGCCCGCCCTCTCCTCCTCCTCCTCCTTGCGGCTTCTCCCCGTTTGCCTGTCTGACTGCGCTGAGAGTTGCTCGACAGAAGGCCAAAAGGCAAGTCGGGCCTCTCGGTGAAGTACATCTCGATGCGCCAGCGCCGAGCGACAGTGGCTTCCTGTCGGCCGATGCCGACGTCTCGCATGTGACTGCGGCCTGCGCAGAAAAACAGGAACTGCGTCACCGGCGGACGTTTGAGTCCACACCTACGAAACAACACGAGATGTGTTTGCAGGAGGTTTTACCTGGAACGTGGACTGACACCAAAGATACAGCGCAGCCACGAGGGAGTTTCAAAGACTCGACCCACCCTCTAGTTTCACTTCAATCCAACGGTTGTGAAAGGACGCAAGAGATTGTAAATGTTTCTCTTCCCTCGATTCAAGTGTCGGGATTCAAAACGACTTCAAACCAGAGTATGCAAATACCGGCAGCCGAGCCGCAGAAAGACGAACAACCCTTTGACATGTGTGATGCTCAGCGGCAACCCATGAAAAGCGTCCCTGGTAAAGAAACTCCCACAACATCCGATTCTGCATTGAGCCGTCCAGGAAGTCTCTCTGAAAAGTGTATGTGGAAAAATAGGGATGAAAATGGTCGTGAGAGGGAGGAGACACTGCAAGGCTTCGATGGCTCCTTCCAACAAGTTCAAATTGTTCCAAAAAGTCCCGCAAACGTGAGCACGGGCACATGTCAGGCTGATGGAGCCATCAGTTGCGATCGTGATCCCAAAGAGGAAATTCCTGCGGGGTCGTCTTCTCACCCGAGCCGTCCACCAAAAGCTTCCCAAAACAATTTGCCGTTTGACAGTTACGACATAAACGAGTCGATTCAAGGCTTTCTTTGACATGTGTGATGCTCAGCGGCAACCCATGAAAAGCGTCCCTGGTAAAGAAACTCCCACAACATCCGATTCTGCATTGAGCCGTCCAGGAAGTCTCTCTGAAAAGTGTATGTGGAAAAATAGGGATGAAAATGGTCGTGAGAGGGAGGAGACACTGCAAGGCTTCGATGGCTCCTTCCAACAAGTTCAAATTGTTCCAAAAAGTCCCGCAAACGTGAGCACGGGCACATATCAGGCTGATGGAGCCATCAGTTGCGATCGTGATCCCAAAGAGGAAATTCCTGCGGGGTCGTCTTCTCCCCCGAGCTGTCCACCAAAAGCTTCCCAAAACAATTTGCCATTTGACAGTTATGACATAAACGAGTCGATTCATGGCTCCTCTTCATTCGTCAAGCCGGTTCAGGATGCTACAAAAAGTCCTGGAAACGCAAATGCAGTCGCACATCAAGTTGATCAAGCCTTCGAATGTGCCCGTGATGCGACAGAGGAAATTCCCGCAGCGTCGGCTTCTGCTTCCTGTGCCCAAAACTGCGACCGGTCCAACTGCCAGCTGACCGCCTCCCAGAAAGCTGATGTGAAGGCGTTGTGCACTCTCCTGGAAGAAGCCGGCAGCCAGTTTGACTTCACCCAGTTCAGAACCGTCAAGTTAAAACAACCGGGCAAAGAGGCTTCCGCCCCTTCATCGAAAGCTGACAAAGACCTTGAACCACACTTGCTGTCCGGGATCGATTTCGAAGACAGCTTTTGCGCAGAGCCAAATGAGAAAACGACTTCGACCTCATGTGGTACGACTCATCTTGAAGAATCCGGTGTTGCTAGGCAACCCCTATGTGCACATACTACGGAAAAAGAAGAAAGGGCTGAAGAAAGTCTCGTCAGAGTTTCCAAAAAATGTCTGAAGAAAACCAAACATTTATTTCAGGTTTTGGAGGCGAGTACTCCAGCGCAGAAGCAAAGTGTTGAGAATGATCGGTCCACTATGCGCACCTCTCGGAATGAGCAGCAATTTGTTGACGGCTACGACAGGGAGGAGCCGCTTCAAGGCTTCTTTTCATCCGCCATACCCGACCAAAGCGCTCCAAAAGGTTCTGGCAACATGCTTGCGTCTGCGCGGCAAGAGGGCTTTCGGATGGCCAGTGGCAAAAGCCTTTTGCTTTCGCCCAGAGCGATGCAGAAGGCACATTTTGTCTTCAAAGACTGCGCTGCTGAAAACGGACCGCGCCTTGTGGAGACTGAGCCTCTCATGAATGTAGCGGCGTCGCCGACTCTTGTCTCCTCCGTCGGTGGCTGTTCAAGCAGTAGTACTGCATTCTGCACGGACGGAGGGAAGAGAGAATCTGTGTCATCTGAGGCATTGGCTAAGCAAAGAAGCTTCTCAGGAATCAAACATGTTGACCATTCGCTGGGCGGATCCCAGTTCGCAGGAGGTAAACAGGTTTCCTCCGCTGCGCCGAAGAAAACGGAATCCTTGCTCGATGTTTGTCATGAAGTTGAGGAACATCCGGTATGTGACCAAGCATTTGGCAAAAGTGATTTCCCGCTGACGAGCGGGAAGCCTCGCTCGTTTTCAGCCAATGATCCCTTTGACAAGCTGGGCTCCACTTCAAAGAGTCTCTCTGTTTCCGGTGGAAAGACAAATGACGGAGAACGAGGAAATGCTGCCAACGTGCAGGCAACGGATGGTCAACTCGATCCTGTTGAGAATGAAAAGCCAGAGCATCAAAACAGTGAAAACAGTGCAAGTTCATGGTTGGAGCTGGATTTTTCGACCTGGACTGGTGGTGGATTCTCTGCCGCCGGTGGGGAAAACGCATCGGCGTCTGCAGTGGCCTTGACAAAAGCCAAACCGCTTTTGCAAGAAGACCGCGGAGCTCACCCGAGCGCAGAATTTAAAAACGGAACCTCCTCTTTACTCGAAGGTGTTGACCATCAGCCGGGCGGGTTCCGGACGGCGAAAGGCAAACGAGTTGCTGTTTCCTCAGCTGCGCTCAAGAAAGCACAACTCTTGCTGGATGATTGCTCTGAAGTGAAGGAACATCCGCTCTGTTATCCAACGGCGACAAAGAGTGAGCTCCCGTCTGCTAGCGAGAAGCCCGGGTCCTTTTCAGACAATTCACTCTTTGCCGACGACTCTCTCTTTGACAACCTCGACTGCACTCCGGAGAGTCCGTCTGTTTCTGATGTGAAGGACGCAAAAACAGCAAATGCCACAATTGTGGATAACATTGACTGTCCAAATGATCAGGTCGAAAATGGACAGTGTGATAATAATGTGGCAAACTGTGCAAATCCATCTTTGGATATCGGTTCTTCTTCTTTATTGAGTGTCGGTGGGTTCTCTACTGCCAGTGGGAACAAGGTATACGTGTCTGCGGCAGCCCTGAAAAAAGCCAAAGATCTTTTGCAAGAAGACGCCGGGGATGCCCTTAGCTCCAAAATGCAACACAGAAGCTTTTTAGGTGTCGAACGTGCTGACCTGGCAGCTGCGAGCCAAAATGTCACCGCTTCTTCCGCTGCTCTTCCGACAATCAAATTCTTGCTTGACGAAGACCTTGCAGTTGAGGAACACCCGGGCTGCTCTCCACCCTTGGGGAAAAGTGAGTTCCTGTCAGCTCGTGAGAAGCCAGCTTCATTTGCAGCCAAAAGTGACCTGGGCTCCACCTTAGAGAGTCCCGCTCTGACGCCGCATGACTCGAAACGAGGGAATAGCACAAGCAAAGAAACGTTGGGTGGTTGTTTTCCAATTGCAGGTGTTACACCGAAAAAGGCATCTTTACCCCACAAGGCGACGCTAGAAGCAGATGCTCACTTCAAAGGTATGATGGACAGTCATGATGGAACGTCCGGAAAAGAGAATCCGTCCATCGTCGGCGCAACGGCGTTCACCGTGAAGACGGATGCTCAAAACGGTCCCCTACCAAATGGGAACATTCGGCTTCATCGCGATGAGGAAAAGCCTGGAAATCCATCTTTGGATGTTGCTTGTTCTTCCCTGAGTGGCGCTAGATTCTCTGCCGCCAGTGGGAGCGCGCTACCCGTGTCTGCAGCGGCCATGGCAGCAGCCAAACATTTTTTCCAAGAAGACCACGAGGATGACCCGAGCGCAAAAATGAAACCTGGAGGCTCCTCGGGTGTCGACCGCCTCGACTGTCAAGCGGGTGGATTTCAGACAGCTGGAGGCAAACGAGTTACCGTTTCTTCCGCTGCGCTTACCCGTGTCTGCAGCGGCCATGGCAGCAGCCAAACATTTTTTCCAAGAAGACCACGAGGATGACCCGAGCGCAAAAATGAAACCTGGAGGCTCCTCGGGTGTCGACCGCCTCGATTGTCAAGCGGGTGGATTTCAGACAGCTGGAGGCAAACGAGTTACCGTTTCTTCCGCTGCGCTTAAGAGAGCGAAATTCTTGCTCGATGATTGTGATTCAGTTGAGGACCATCCGGACGATTATCCACTCGCAAGAAAAAGTGAGTTCTTGTCAGCTAGCGAGAAACCTGGGTCATTTTCAGCCAAGTCCCACTTTGGCGATCTCGGCTCGACTTCAGACATGATGGCCGCTGGAGATGGAATGTCAGATGTTCGAGTGAGCAAAAATATCCCCAAGATCCAGCTTGGAAACAAGAGCGCTGCTCCATTTGGAGACGATAAAAACACAAGGCATTATAAGAACTTGGCAAACTCCGCAGTTTCATCATCGGCTATTTGCTCATCTTCCCCGAGTGGCAGCAGATTCTCTACTGCCAGTGGGAGGAGCCTGTCTGTTTCTGATGAAGCAGTGATAAGAGCCAAATCTCTCTTCAATGACCTTGAGGGTGAAAACCAGAAGCTCCACCGCAACGCTAGTTTGCAACATGCCAAACGGGACGGTCCGCAAAATGTGGGACTCCAGACGGCCGACGGCGGAAGAGCTTCTATTGCGTCCGCTGCTCTCAAGAAGTCAAAATCCTTCTTCGCTGAGAGTCATGAAAGCACAAGTGCTAGCCGACATTTCAACTGATGTCGG